AAAAAAAAAAAAAAAAAAATTTCAGTAGGGTTGGCAACCATGAATTTATAGCAGTATCAATCTGGATGATAGGGAAGATTTCTTTAGCAACAGTAAGCAGCTTAGGTAAGGTGTGGAAAAGAAGATATTTGAATTCAACCTAAATCCAGGCTAATGGAATCAGGTAATGTCACAAGTAAAGTTGAGTTAAGTGGTTTCAAAAAAGCCAAGGCATATTACCTCCTCCCGACCTAACTATACATATGCAAGGATCTAGATCTAGATTTACTTTTTCGATGGAAGAGAAAGAATTATATACAACTAACAAAATTTGAAAGCTAAGCAATGAATCACAAAACGAAATAAATCATTTGTCTTATAAATGGCTACTGCAAATCCTTAAAAAATATAAACTTTGATTTTTAGAAGCCATGATGGGAACCCAAAAAAGTTCAAATGAAGAGAAAAATTTTAATTTCTTTAGATAGTAAAATTGTAAAAATTGTTATCATTTAATGCAATAATTGCTTTTAAAAATAGAGATAGAATTAAAATGCCTATTTATTAAACACAAACAAAAGTTGCTCATTTTATACCTTTGAAGCTGCTCTTGTATTTGATCTACAATTTTCACTTTGTCCAGTAAATTCTGAATTTCAGCTTTCTGGCGATTAATAATTTCCTTATATTTTGATAGTTCTTCTTCTGTTCTTAATCGTTCATCTTCCAGACATTTCGTCTATCAAAAATGATCATAACCAAGTTAAACTACAAACAATATTTTCTTGCTCCTTATGAACTATTTCACATAGTGGTTCCGTGTTAATAATATAAGCTGACTTCTAGAACAGTATTAGGTAACGTGAAGAAAATACAATGGGAAGTTAACAGCCCTGGGTTGTAGTCTCAGATTTCTTAAAAGTTTAGTCATGGAAGTTTTAGCATGTCATTTTATTTTTATTGAACCTCTATTTCTTCACCTGAAAAAGAATATGCTTTCCCCACCTACCTCAAAGAACTGGCCAAGAACAAATAGGAAGGTACCCCCAAAAAACACTTTGAAAATTAGTAAGTGATCTTAAATTCAAGGTGGTTACTTAAAAGCCTGTTACTCATTCTGAATAACCGAATGATACATAGTGACAGCATGGATCACCTTCATATTTAAGTTAAAAGAGATAACTATTCTTACAATAAAGACTATCTATACTGGAAAAAATTTAATAGATAAATAGAAATTAAAATTGTATCCATCTGAGACCATTAAATAAACCCAAGAGAAATAAAAAGTCTTTCTATTATTTTCTGACACTCACAGTTCTAAGGTCCAACTATCTCTCTAACTGATTTGCTGTCTTTAGATCAGAGGCCAAGAATAAGTTATAGATACAGCAAATGTGCTGTCAGATAGGAATGTTTGGCAAGCACTTCAAAGGGACTAATGTAAAAGACATTTTCATTTCAACAAAAAAGCTGATGATACTTCTAAGGAATTGCTATTCTATTCCTGAGTTCTTTAATTTTGGAAAATTTTTACGTAAATTTCCTTTCTCTGCCACTTTAAAAATCAGAAATGAATCCAAAATTAAAGATATTTACCCTTCCCCCAGAGTCACAACTAAAGATTTAATTACCTTTGTTCTGAGTGTTCGTAGCTCATCCATACCCTCCTTAAACGTCCTCTTCAGATCTTCTAGTTCTTTTATTTTGGCATGATGCATCTTTTAAAAAGTTTAAAAGAAACCACAAATCATAATGTACTAAACAAGATCTAAAAGTTATTGCCTATGCCTTCCAAAAGGCCTTAAAAGTAGATGGCAGTAAGTACTCATTATTTCTCTTTCTGTATTTATTATACAACTAGGATCTACAAAGAACAAAAGTACTCACCTCTAGCTGGTCAGATTTTTCTTGCATTTGTTTTTCAAGTTCTCCTTTTGTGACTCTAAGTTTCGCATCAAGCTCGTGTGATTTAATTTCTTCTGACTCCTAGTGAAAAGGAAATGAAAAAAAAAAACATGAAAATTTTTTAAAGTTTTATACTCTGAAAAGTAAATAAAGCTTTGCAATTAAGTTTACTAACTGTGAAATATACTACTGCATCTAAAGCTGAAGATTTCATTGAAAGATTTTAAATGTCTATTCCGCATGAATAAGAGTAACACACTTAATATATATTAAGATAATACAGAGCAGTTTTTTTAAAGTTACACATATCTCTGTACTCTTCTAACATTTTCTAGGGTTTTTATGAGGTTGGGAATTTCTCTAATAAGATCCCATTTAAGTTGCAGGCAATTTAAAATAAGAAATAACCTATATTTTTTTAACTGCTCTATCCAATCCATTCTATAATTCAAATACTGGAAATATAGAAATTTAATGAAACAAAGAACTGATACTTAGTATAATTTGACACAAATCTATTTGAAAAGTATACCTGATATGTTTTTATCATATCCTGACAGTTTTTTCGTATCTGATCTGCTTCTTCCTTTGCTTGTGTTAATTTTGTTGTTGTTTCTTTCAGCTTATCTCTGGTTTCCTGCATGGACAAAAAAGAGACACAGCTGGCCACAAGGATGTGCGTGGTTAGAAGTACTCAGTGAGCAGGAAGTTCTCTTCCTAGCACTGCCACTGAGGGGCCAGACACTAGTCTAGCAATGTTTTTTTCAGACAAAAAATTGAAATGGTCTGCCATTAAGTAAAGTTAAATTTGATAGTTTCAGGAAATTACTAGAAGTTGTCACTCACCTTGTGTGAATCTATTTCAGCTTTTAATTTGTTTTGTGCCCATTTTACTTTAATGATGTGAGAGTTGATATCTTCCTTTAATTTGTCTATTTCTCTGATGAGTCTGGTTGTTTCACCTTCCTAAAATAATATCACTTGGTTATATTTTTTCATTTAAACAATTAACAAATTAGTTACGTGTCTTTTATACTCCCTCAAAGTAATCAGTGCAATAACATTGTTAATTCAAGAGCTGGCACACTATGGCCATAAAACTGACCTAAAGTTCAAATGATAAGAGGGCAGTGAAATGCTAAACCCAATCAACAGACATGAAGATGATTAACTTTCAAATCTTAAACAACTGGATGTATTGTCAACACAGGTATACCTTTATGACTTTTTTTTCCTTATTTGAGACAAAGTCTCACTTTGTCACCTTCGTTAGAATGCAATGGTGTCACAGTTCACAGCAACCTCCAAATCTTGGGCTCAAGCAATTCTCTTGCCTCAGCCTCCTGAGTAGCGGGGACTACAAGAGCCTGCCACAATGCCAGGCTATTTTTAAGAGATAGGATCTCGCTCTTGCTCAGGCTGGTCTTGAACTTGTGACCTCAGGCAATCCGCCCACCTCGGCCTCCCAGAGTGCTAGGATTACAGGTGTGAGCTATACCTTTATCACTCTTCTTTGGCTGGCATTAAAGTCAAATATGAACAACTATGGTTCTGTCAGAATTCCTCAGAACAATGACAGTATTTCTGAACTAAAAGTTAATGAATTAAAAATAATATCACTGAGAAATAATAGTGAACTAGAAATCTAACTATGTCAAGAGGCTGCTAGTTAACAGCAAAAGTTCTCAACAGCCAGCTCAGCATTGAAGGACATGTTGTTCCCCGAGAAAAATATAAATTTTGGTCTATAGAGAGAGTTACATTAAGACTATTATCAAATGGTACCCGAGGCTCTAAAACTATTCACATTTGACACTACCGTGTGCATATTTTACTAAAATACAGTATAATCTTCCTTTGAGGTACAAACTGTTTTATTCAACATAGAGATTTTAAAAGTTTTAGAGAAGATAATGAAAAGGTTATCTACTAAACAACATGTGCCAATACTTTATCTTTTCCCCAGCAAACCTTTCTTTTTCAGACAAGTAATAAAATACTAGAATTATTAAACATTCATGCTCTTAGAAGGTAAATAAAAATTGAGTATTTAGCCATGCTAAGTTATGATTATTTGATTAAATAAGGAAAAGCAAAGAGAACAAATTTCATATAAGCTCCAATGGCACAAGTTATACCTTTGTTTCATACAGCTGGTGTAACCGTCCTTTCTCTTGAGAAAGCTGCTTAATTTTGTTAGTGTTTTTCTCAAATTCCTTATTTGCATCTCTAAGTTTTCTCTCAAGTATCTCTTTTTCCTTTCGAAGGTCTAAAGATTCCTTCTCACCTCTTACATACTTCATTACCATTGCTTCTTTTTCCTGGCGTGCCTCTTCACATTTCTTGTTAGCCTTTAAAAAACAAACACATCTGCCATAGATAACAAATATTTTTCCAAGTAGAAATATATCAAAATAAATATTTTCCTCTAATATTACCAATACATTTTTTGGGTTTTTTTTGCAAAACATTCCCATGAATGAAACTTTTAAACCTCAATCCGTTATTTACTATTTCCATCATCTGTATTCTTCGTTACTAGAGAAGGGTACATGGAAATGAGTAGCATGTTGCCCATTTGTTAAAAATAAATAGATGTCCACATAAGACACAGCTTCAGGAAACTGGCATCGGTGATTACCTTCAAGAAAGGGGTGAAATCATTGGAAAAGGACTTTTTAATTGTTAGAATTTTTTTTTTAAAGACACCTTGTCACCTTGGGTAAATTGCTGGGGCATCACTGTAGCTCACAGAAACCTTAAATTCTTGGGTTCAAACAATCCACTTGCCTCAGCCTCCCGAGTACCTGGGACCCCCACAATGCTGGCTAGTTTTTCTAATCTCAGTAGAGACAGGGGCTCACTTTGCTCAGGCTGGTCTCAAACTTTTTTTTTTTTTTTGGAGACAGAGTCTTACTTTGTCACTCTCAGTAGAGTGCTGTAGCACCATAGCTCACAGCAATCTCCAATTCTTGGGCTCAAGCAATTATCTGGCCTCAGCCTCCTGAGTAGCTGGGACTACAGGTACCCACTGCAATGCTCAGCTATTTTTAGGGATGGGATCTCACTCTGGCTCAAGCTGGTCTCAAACTTGTGAGCTCAGGCAATCCACCCACCTCCGCCTCCCAGAGTGCTAGGATTACAGGCAGGAGCCACTGCGCCTGGCCCTGGTCTCTAACTCTTGAAACTGTTTGAACTATTATCATGCACATCTACCTATTATTTTGTTTTTATTTTTATCAGTTTGTTTTAAAAAATCTTACTAGGTAACTCTAATGATCAGCTATGTTTTCATTAAAACCAGAAACTTAAGATTATTTCCCTTGAATTACTACAAAAGGATTAAGGCCTGATAGAGTTTTAAACAATGTTTCTAATACAAAGGGTGAGTATACTGTACAGAATCGCCCAAATAAAGGTTGAGGACAACCTGTTTATTTACTGCCAGCATGTCACTCATGGTAGTAGCTTCAGGGCAAGAAGGATGGGATTTAGAGGGTTAAGCAGTGAGTTAACCCTCTCTGATTCAATTCACTATGAGGACTAATTGTTAGTTGTGCAAAATTCTGTGGGTAAAGGAATAAAAATGAGAAAAGACCTAAACCTTAAAGAGTTCAGGCAAGTAATGTAGAAAATGACTACTTAAAATGACCTCTTCTGAGAATCATACACCAACTCAAAAAGATTACCAAGGTATGTTAAACAGGAAAGAAAAGGTTTTAAAAAAGTTATACAATAAAATTCCAATCAAGTGGGGGAAGTATATGAATATGTACAAAAAGCACATGTGACTTGTATATGCAGATGTAGGCTATATAACCAAAACATCAATAATTAGCTGTGGAACAAAGTATGGGATATAGAGGGATTAGAGGCAGGAGAAGAGGAAGTATTTTCATTTTTTATCTCATATACTTTAATTTTTCAAAATAATTACCATATATTTATGTATCACCTTATCATTTTTCGAAAGGCTGCTTTTACATAAATAAAATGACCTTTTTTTTTATTATTGGGGATTCATTGAGGGTACCAGAAACCAGGTTACGCTGATTACATGTTAGGTAAAGTCCCTCATATAACTGTGTCTTGCCCAAGAAACCAGGTTACACTGATTACATATGTTAGGTGAAGTCCCTCATATAACTGTGTCTTGCCCCTATAAGGTGCGTCACACACCGAGACAAAATGACCTATTCTTAGTACAACACTGATGTCCAAAACAGTCTAACATGCTTGGTTTCTTATCACAAACAAGAGTCACCAGAGTATCAAGTTACTAAAGAGAATGATATGAAAAATACCTGTTCCATCCGTTGGGCCATCTCTTTGTGTAACTGCTGAATTGCATTTTTTGCTGCAAGGTCTTGAACTACTAGTTTATCTTTGGAAACTTTAACTTCCATGTTAAGTTCCTCTATTCTTGATTCTAACTGTAAAAAAAATTATTTCCATATTATTTTTATAACTATACCAAGCAGATCACCAATATCTCAAAAAAAAAAAAATAAAGAGCACAATGAATATACTGCAACCATAGAAATCACTAACTATTAGCAATGTTTCTGTATCTCATTGGAATTAATTTAGTGTAAATCTGAAGAGATTCTGATGAGACAGGGAGTACGCGGTAAGCCCTGGCCTAGAGTATGCTCTGAGAAATAACTAAGGCAAATATAGCAGTCCCCCCTCACACAGTTTTGCTTTCCATGATTTCTGTTACCTGTGGTCAACCGGGATCCAAAAATATTAAATGGAAAATGCCAGAAATGAACAACTCCTAAGTTTTAAGCTGCATGCCATTTTCTGAGCAGCATGATGAAAGCTCATGCTGTCCTGCTAGCCTTGCGCCCAGGCTGTCAGTCATCTGGTTTTTTGTTTGTTTGTTTTGAGACAGAGTCTCCAGCTTTTGCCCTGGTAGAGTGCCATGGCATCACAGCTCACAGCAACCTCAAACTCTCAGGCCTAAGCGATTCTCTTGCCTCAGCCTCCTAAGTACCTGGGACTACAGGCACCTGCCACAACACCCAGCTATTTTTTGTTGTTGTTGCAGTTGTCACTGTTGTTCTAGCTGGCCTGGGCTGGGTTCGAACCCCCCAGCCTAGGTGTATGAGGCCAGCGCCCTACCCGCTGAGCTATGGGCACTGCCCTCAATCATAACCTTTGTCCCGCATATGCACGACCTATATACCCCCTGCCAGTTAGTCACCAGAGTATCAAGTTAATAACACTAACGATGTGAAAAATACCTAGTCTCTCTCTTGAGCCATCTCTGTATGTATTGCTGAATTACATTTTTTGCTGCAAGGGCTTGAGCAAGCAGTTTATCTCTGGAAGCTTTAACTTCTTAAGTTCTTCATAGTAGCCACCTCAGTTATCAGAAAAACTGTCAAGGTATTACAGGGCTTGTATTCAAGCAACCTATACTTTTTTACTTAATGGCCCTAAAGTGTTTCATTTAAGTGAAACAGGGAAAGTTCTCAACAAAGAAAGACAAGTACTCTGAGTTTGCTACATCCATAGTAAGAACTTATTTTCTAACTGTGAAATTAAGAAGGAAAAAGAAATTTGGCTCGAACTGGAAAAGTTATGGCGTTAGTATGTGATAAGTGACTAGTGAAGATGGGTTCAATATTATCTGCAGTTTTAGGTATCTACTGGGAGTCTTAGAACATACCCCCTTGGATAGAGGGAAGTTAATGTATAGTGAAAACATCATGAAAAAACTTAGGTATTTTATTAGAAAATATTCACTTTAAGCAAAAAAAGAAAGCACTGAAGGAGGAATAAGGGAACCAAACAACACGAGATCTCTCTATATATGAAAAGGTAAAATGGTGGACATAAATCCAACTGTCTTAATGTTAAATGAAAGTGGACCAAACAATCCTACCAAAAGGCAGAAAGTGAGACTGAAATGAAAAATAAGATTTGTCACTAATCATCAGGGAAATGCAAATTAAAACCACAATGAGATATGCCTACTACCTTCCCCCAGTTAGAATTGTTTTTAATTTAAAAGCCCCAAATCAACAGATGCTGGTATGAACACAGAAGAGGAAGGAATGCACTTACACATTGTTGGTGGGTCTGCAAATTAGTAACCCCCGCAGAAAACAGTATGGAGATGCCTCAAAGAACTAAAATACCTACCATTTGACCATTTGAATAGCAGTCCCGCTATTAGGTATCTACACAAAGGAAAAAAATGACTACATCAAAAAGACACCTGCACTTGATTGTTAACTGCAGCACAACTGCAAAGATGCGGAATCAACACAAGTGCCCATCAATTAATGAGTGGAATGGTAAGATGTGGTATATGTATACCATGTATACTACTCAGCCATAAAAATGATCAATTAATACCTTCTGCAATAATCTGGATGAACTAAAGACTATTCTCCTAAGTAAAGTATCTCAAGAATGAAAAAACAAACACTACATGTACTCAACTCATTACTAAATTAGAACTAACCCATGAGCACATATATACACAGAGAGAAGTAAAAGTCATCAGGGGAGGGAGAGGAGAGAGGCAAAAACCTATCTAATGGATACAGTGAACATTATTTGGGTGATGGGCACACCAACAGCTGAGACTCAAGACCTGCAATTCATGAACCTAAAACATTTGTACCCCCCTTAATTGTTTTTTGGGAAACAAAAGAATTTAACTTAAAAGTTAGTGCTCACCAAAAGTTAATTAGTGCCTATTTCATATTCTAGAAAAATAAAATATCAGAGTCTTATAGAGATCTCTTATTTATATACATAGTATTTCAAAAATCAATGAGATACTCAAAAGATTAAATAGGAACATTCTTTATTTGTGGAAAACAGGATAAATCTAAAATTGTCCAAAAATATATATATTTAAAAGATTCAACTGTATGCTGTCTACAGGAGGTACTTTAGGTTCAAAGATACAAATACATTGAAAGTAAAAAGATGGCCAAAGATATGGCACGCAGAGAGCAGGAGTGGCTGGCCTAGTATCACGCAAAACAGATTGACATAAAAAACGTTACAAGAGATAAAGAGTATTTCATAATGATAAAAGGGATCCATCCACCAGAAAAATGTGACAGTTATACATATAGTATACAGGCACCTAACAACATAGCACCAAAATACTGAGACAAAACCCAACAGAAATGAAGGGGGAAAGAGACAAGCCAACAACAGCTGGAGACCTCGATATCCTACTTTCAATAATGGATAGAATGAGAGGATTAACAAGGAAATCGGGGACTTTAACAACACTATAAAACAACGGAATCTAATCTATATATAGAACACACTATACTGGGCAATAACAGTGTATACACATTCTCATCAAGTGATGTGAAATATTCTCCAGGATAAAACATTTGCTAGGTTATAAACAAACCTCAATAAATTTAGAAGACTGAAATCATACAAAGTGGGTCACTGCTACAGTTTTGAGACAGAGTATGTTATGGTTTATTATTTCACTTCTAGGAAACATAGTTGACAGTGTCCTTTCAGATTCACCTGTACAAGTTTCAACTCGCTCAGCTTACTGGTGCTAGGAGGGCTTCATTTGTTTCCATCCACATGGATTTTGTATTTGATTGCTGTGTATCTCAAAACTTTCCTAATGACCCATGTATGTTCTCCAACCACAAGTTGAAATGAGAACTCAGTAAAGAATGAAATTTGAGAAATACATGTATTTGTAAAAATTAAACACACTCCCTAATATCTGATGGAAGAAATAACATGAGAAATTAGAAAGTACTAAGTAATGAATAAAGATGAACATGTAATATACCAGAACTTAGGGGATACATCTAAAGCAACGCTTGGAGGGAAATTTATAACTAAAAACACCTATGTTAAAAAAGAAGAAATGATATCGAATCAATAACCTAAACTTCTACCTTAGGACACCAGGAAAAGAACAGAAGGAAAAATAAAAAAGTGTGGAAATTAATGAACTAGAGAACAGAAAAACAGACAACAAAACCAAAAAACTGGTTCTTTGAAAAAAATAAATAAAATTGACAAATATTTAGCGAGACCAGCGGTTTTCAACCTGTGGGTTGTAAACCTTTTTTAACAATGAAAATACACTGCAGCATTAGGAAGGTTGAGAACCACTGAGCTAGACTGAGGACAAAAAAAAAAAGCCTTGGCTCAAAATTACTAGAATTGCAGGGAAAGAAAGACATTACTACTGACTTTACAAGAATTAAAAATAATTATGAATGAATACTATGAACCTAGATGAAATAGAAAATTCCCAGAAAGATGTAAACTATCAAACTCTCACAAGAAGAAATAGAAGTTCTGAATAGATTTATGACAAGTAGAGACTGATTTAATAATTAAAAAACAATAGAAACTGCCCACAAAAAGTTCAGGCCCAGATGGACACACAGGTTAAATTCTACCAAACATTGAAAAATTAATATCAATTCTTCACAAATCTTTGCCCCTCAAATAAAGAGAACACTTCCCAATTTGTTCTCTTCACTCCTGGGTATACCCCCATAGAAACGAAAGCGTACATAAACCTAAAAACGTGTATGTGAATTTTCACAAAGACATGATTCTAATAGGCAAATGGTGACAACAACCTAATGTCTATCAACCGATGAAGGGATAAACAAAATGTTGTATATGTATATAATGGATTAATCATTAAAAAGAATGAAGTACTGAGATATGTTACAATTTATATGAAACCTTAAACACATGCTAAGTCAAAGAAGATACAAAAGGCTACTTCTTATATGATTTTATTCCTATGAAATGTTCAGAATAGGCAAATTATAGAGTCAGAAAATAAACTGGTTGTTCCCTAGGGCAGAGCAGGGAGGGTCAAGTTGGAAGGAAAAGAAATGTGACCCCTGGCTGGGCGCAGTAGCTCACACCTGTAATCTCAGCACTTGGGAGGCCGAGGCAGGTGGACTGCCTGAGTCCACAGGTTCAAGACCAGCCTGAGCCAGAGCGAGACATCGCTTCTAAAAATAGCCAGGCATTGTGGCGGGCATCTGTAGTCTCAGCTACTTGGGAGGGTGAGGCAAGAGAATTGCGTGAGCCCAAGAGTTGGAGGTTGCTGTGAACTGTGATGCGTGATGCTATGGCACTCTGCCAAGTGCAACAAAGTGAGACTCTGTCTTGGGGGTGGGGGTTGGGGGAAGAAATGTGACCACTAATGGGTAGAGAGTTTCTTTCGGGGTGATAAAATGTCTAAAATTGTGGCAATGGTTGTACAATTAAAAGCCATTAAAATGTATGCCTGAAATAACTGAACTGTATGGCATGTGAATTATATCTCAGTAAAGCTATTAAAAAAAAAAAAGATTGGAGTGGTGCCTGTGGCTCAAAGGGTACCAGCCCCATATACCAGAGGTGGTGGTTCAAACCTGGCTCTGGCCAAAAACTGAAGGAAAAAAAAAAAAAAAGATGAACACTAAAAAAAAGAAAAAAAAAAACCCAACACTGTCCAAAAGAGATATAAGCCATGTGTAATTTTAAAGTTTCTAAAACTCATATTTTAAAGAGCAGAAAGAAAACAGGTAATAGTTTATTAAACCAAATATATTCAAAATATTACCATTTCGATATATAATTAACATGAAAAAATGAGGAGTTCTACTCTTCCTTGGGTATTAAGTCTTCCAAATTAAGCATGTCCTTTCCATTCCATCACCTCTCAGTTTAGACTAGCCACCTCTGAAGTGCTCAGCATGGCAACCACCAGCCACCTATATGTATGTGATTGCCATATTGCAGATCTAGAGATAAAATTAAGAAAGAAAATCCTGCTGTACTTGTTTTCTATTTAGAAGTACCAAGTTCTCTAAATGCTAGCAAAAGAAGGTGAACCCAATTTTCTCTTTCTAAGGAGCACAACCACTAAAAAACTTGTGAGAAGTTTACTGGCTCTATCCTATCTGTTCAGTGTGAAGGGGTCATGAGGAGTAACTTCATTATCAAAATACAGACTCAATCTATCATTAAGGATCCCTCACACTTTAACATTCTAAATTTGGTTTACTTGTGGTGGCCCTAAGACACATAAAATACAGGATTAAATACATACAGTTTTACAAATATAGTCACCTTTGAATTATGTAAAGGTGCATTAAGTATACCAAGTCATAAGTGACACCTGATTTAATTTTTTATGTTATTACCAATTGTTTACTGTTATTTTCATTGCCTCGTTTTATGAAAAATAAGACAAGGAAATACTTTTTAATTTTTTTATTTCAAATTAATATGAGGGTACAAACAATTAGGTTACAATGTTTGCATTTTTTAGGTAAAGTCCCTGTTGTAGCTGTGTCCCACACCCAAATGTGGCATATACCCTTTCATGGTGCCAGTTAGGTGGGAGCAATGGAAAATACTTCTAAGTTTATCCTTCTAATCCTGTCCACAGAAGAAAAGCAGCTCAGAAAAGATCGCTGTCAAAGAGCAACTCAGCTTTGCTGTTAAAATATTCACTTTGCTGATCCATGCATCAGACTGGTTCATTAAAAAGAAAAGGAGAGAAGAATAGGCTTGGAAAGCTAGTTAGCCACACATAATCCAAACGTAAACCATTGAGAGCCACTGCTCACAGTGTATTTACAAAAATACTGAGAACAGAATCATACTAAACCATAAGCCAGATACATAAACTTTTATGTATCTATTGTTTCTTGTCTATTGGTAAAAACAGTCTAAGCTGACTGTCAAATCAAACTGCCTTTTTGATTATTTTGAGCAAAAACTTATATATAGCAGTCAGGCATATCATAAAATTATAAATTTACATAAAAGGAAATAAGAATTGCTTTAAATACTATGCAATTCTCTGCATTTAAAATACGGTTAATTAGTTGGGCACAGTTGCTCATGTCTGTAATCCTAGCACTCTGGGAGGCTGAGGTGAGTGGATTACTTGGGTTTAGAAGCTAGAGACTAGCCTAAGCAAGAACAAGATCCTATCTGTACTAAAAAATAGAAAAACTAGCCAGGCGTTGTGGTAGGTACCTGTAGTACCAGCTACTAGGGAGGCAGGAGAATAGCTTGAGTCCAGGTGTTTGAGATTGCTGTGAGCTAGGCTCACGCCATTGCACTCTAGCTCATGCAACAGAGCAAGACTCTGCCTCAAAAAGAAAAAAAAAAAAGGAAAACAAAATGATTTCTATTACAGAGCTTCAATTTATACACAATTTTTCAGGAACGTATTTATTTTATAAATTGAAGGATGATCTTTAAAGATTTTTGTCCTTTTACCTGTTTAATTGTGCTCATATGTTGCTTCTCTGTTTCTGTTCTTTTTTTTAGTTCTTCTCTTAAATTGTCTTTTTCTGAACAAATGTCTAAGATGAGATCCTGATGCTTCTTATTTTCTTTAATTAACCTAAATACAAAAAGGGCAGTATAAGTAAAACATAATTAAAAATGAAGATAAAATGACAGGTGGGATAGAATCTGTTTATAGATTAGGGGTAGAAACCTATGATTATAATAAACTAGAATTCCTAGGTAATCCTTTTATAATGAAACCTGATACTCTGTAAAATAACTGCTGGTCAATGACACTATTATCTTTTTCCTAGAAATGCGCATATTTCAAGTGAAATATAATCATACCCTTCTAAAGTTATGCCTTTGGGCATTTCAATTATAAACCCTATCCCTTGGCATTGGAACCTTTCAGGTAAGTGGTTCTCATCCAAGGGTAATGTTGCCCCATCAGGCATTTGTCTGGAGATATACCTAGATGTAACACCAGGGGTAGGGGTTGCTACTGGCATCTAGCGGTGGAGGCCAGGGATGCTGCGGAACACCCTGCAAAGCACAACACAGCCCCAACAGTGGCAAAGAGTAATCTGTCCAAAATGGCTTTCTAATAGTTATTATGTGTAGTCTATGTAAACTAACAAGAGTTTAAGCAGCAATTCTGAGCCTCCTAGGAAAAGAGAAATTACACAAACTGCATGCAAAGTACTCAGAAATATAAGGTACCTTAGAAGGTTCACAGCTAATATTATAGGATTATTAATAGCAATAGTTAGCTAATATTTCTTGCACACTTACTATTGGCTAAGGTTAGCCTTCTTTTTCAAAAGCACATTGTTTAATATTGAAAATAAATCTATGAAATTATCACTTCTGTTTTTTACTACTTAAAAATAAGTAAATAAATAAAACTAGCCTACAATTTGTTCCAGACTATACAGGGAGGAAATGGTTGAATTTTGTTTTGGATGCAGGTCTAATTCCAAAGCCCAGGCCTCTCTACCTTCTACTTTGAAGATCACTTATTCACTCAACCAATGCTTGCAGCAAGTACCTATCATCTGTGGGGACTGTGTCAGCAAACAGTACCTGCCCTCATGGAGCTTACATTCTAATAGAGAAAATGAAAACGGGCAATGAAGAAATATAAATAAAATGTCAGGGAGTGATTGAGTCCTATCAAGAAAAGTAAAGGACAGCAAGAGGACACAGAATAACTTGAGCTGCAGTCTTAGAAAAGTAGCCAAGGCAGGCCTCGTTGAGGCGGCAGCAGCAAAGCCCAGGAATGCAGTGAGGAAGCCATAATACAAATGCTTGGGAAAGAGGCAAAAGTATGCACGTTTATTGAGCCTTTTATGTGCAGTGGTTTAACTTATGCTAAGGTGTATACTCAATTTGTTACAGAAAACTACAGGAGCCACAAGAATACTGGCTGCAGGTCACAAGTAAACAACTCAGGGAGGGGGGAGAGAAGAGCAGTTAAGCACTCAAATTGTTCTTCTTACACACCAAATGCACATCCTATACACAGGTTACTGTTCTTAATTAAGAATTTTGGTTGGAACTTGGACAATAATACCGTTTTAGAAAACAGAAACAGAACAGAATGGTAGATAGTATAAAGGAAATGAGGAGATGTTGGTCAAAGTGACTACCGTTAATAACACCATACTGTACACTTAAATTTTGTTGAGAGTAGATCTGAAGTGTTCTCACCACACACACACACACACACACATATATTACATGAGGTGATGGATATGTTAACCAACTTGACTGTAGTAATAACTTTACAATGTATATCAAATGAGCACACTGTGCACTTCAATATATGCAATTTTTTAAATTATACCTCAACAAAGTTGAGGAAAAAGAAAATAGGGGAATGTATGTACAAACAAAGTTATCTGGAAACATGCATTCATGAAAATTTCAACGAAACTGAAAGGTAGTCCTTATCTAACAAAGGCAATGTAACCTGGTTCTGGGTACCCTCAACAATTAAAAGAAAATTAAATGAAGATAAAAGGGGGGAAAATGTAGTTTTAGAGCTGACCTGAATCACATTTTATTCCATTTTATTTGGAATTAAAAATATTATAACAAAAGATTAACCTAGATTTAAAATATCTGATTATTAGTATAATGCCTTAATATTCACAAAACAATTCTATCAGATATTGTCCTCCTTACTTAGATAAAATATTCTTCACTCAAACAAGTTCCTTTGGTGAATATAACAGAGCTTACAAACGGCAGTGAGATCTTCCAGCTCCAAGCATCTATCAGAATTATGCTCACCTCACTCGCCCATGCTGCCACTGTTCTAACAGGATGGAACAAAATAGAGGAATCAATTTTCTACTATATTCCTTACACTTTTAGCTAAACTGAACTCATAACTAATTCATTCCTGATAACCACATTTAACAAACCTCTGAAATCCAACTAATGAGGTTCAGATTTTAACTTATGTGTGTTCATTAGCACATGACTTTGAACAAGTTACCTAGTCTCTCTGCACTTCAGTTACCTCATCTGTAAAATGGAGATAATAACAGTACATGCCACAGAGAGTTGTAGTGAAAAGTCTGTAAGTTAATATAGCTAATGTGCCAGGCACATAATTTACAGCATATAAGCATTTGCTGTTATTATTCAGGATACAGCATCTTATAATTTACAACAGAAGTATTAAAGTGCTAAGAATCCAGACCTAAGGAAAGTGGGAAAAGACATCAGAGATAATCTCAAGGGGAACATCTAACAAAGCTAAGTACTGACCCCAGGAAAATGAAGAAGATACCCTATATAACCAAGAATAGGAGAAGCACCACGGTTTCAAGTAACTAAACATACATTCACCTAGTATCAGTGTTCCAGTAAGGCTAAGAGCACAGAGAAGCAGGCACTGGTTTCTGGGTAGTATTAAGAAAGGCCTTGCCATCTGGAAGAGGCATCTGTACACCCATGTTCATAGCAGCATTATTTATATCAGCCAGAAAAGGTAGACAGAACCCAGGTGTTCGATGACAGATGAATGAATAAATAAAAATGTGGCATATCCATAAATTCCTTAAAGAGGAACAAAATTCCAACATGTTTACTACGTGGGTAAATCTCAAGTTATGCTAAATCAAATAAGCCAGTCAGAAAAAGACAAGTACTGTATGATTTCACTTACATGAAGTATCAAGAGTAGCCAAACTCACAGAAAGTAGAATGGTAGTTGCCAGAGGCTGGGGGTAGGTGAGAATAGGGAGTTACTGTTGAATGGGTACAGAGTTTCAGATTTGCAAGGTGAAAATATCTGCAGATTGACTTCATAGTAATGTCAATATAGTTAGCACAAAGGAACCGTCTACTTAGAAGTAATTAAGATGGTAAATTTTATGTAATACATATTCTAATCACAATTAAAAATAAAAATTAAAAATAGAAAAAAAGGCCCTGGATACTAAGAGATTAAAGGCCATTGGTAAACCAATGAAATGTGAGCTGCTTTGGGGAAGACTAATCCACTGAGCAGGATAACCTGGAGGAGTAAAGGCCAGAAGAATGGAGATCATTAAAAGCCAACTTCATAACCATTATGGTGAATTTTCCTCTGTCATCCTCTTCTGAGACACTGACTTCCTGCCTCCTTCTCTACACACCCCCAACTCAAAATTTTTTTAAATATCATTTTTTGAAAAGAGCTGTATTTTAATGAAGGCTAGTTTTATTTTACTTTCTTCAAGTTTGTCAAAAAGTACCTAAATGTGTCACTTAGCTATATAAATCTAGAATAAAAATACAGGTTAATATAATACATATGGGCTCGGCGCCTATAGCTCAACCGGCTAAGGCGCCAGCCACGTACACCTAAGGTGGCAGGTTCGAATCCCCGGCCCAGACCCGCCAAACAACAATGACGGCTGCAACCAAAAAAAATAGCCGGGCGTTGTGGCGGGCGCCTGTGGTCCCAGCTACTTGGGAGGCTGAGGCAGGAGACTCGCTTGAGCCCAGGAGTTGGAGGTTGCTGTGAGCTGTAATGCCACGGCACTCTGCCCAGGGGGACAGCTTGAGGCTCTGTCTAAAAAAATAAATAAATAAATAAATGCTATAAAAAAAAATATATAATACATATGAAAAAGACTAAAATTAAACTGTCATTAAAACAAAATTAGCTTTGCAAATCCAAGAGAAGTCTGAAAAGAACTAAGTTCTCATTACTGAATGACAAACAATTCTTGTAATCTCTAAATTGTTTAAATCACTGAATTTAGAAGGAGGATTTAAAAACTTTTTTATGACTTCTCATTTCCTTTTGAATTTCTCATTTTTAACAACATATTTCTATACTCTTTCAAAAATGAAAAATTTGGGTTGTCTTTATAAAAATTTCTAGCTCTTTAATGAATTTACACTATTATTTATTAAACTAGGATGTTAAATAACTACAAAAATTTGACATTTGTTCAATTATTCAGTAAGTACACATTCTTTGCTCAACTACTATGTGCATGACTCTCCGGTGGAATTACAAGTGGGTAAGATGACACTTCCCTTTAAAAAATTCAATTGTGATCTGTGAAAAAAAAACCTAAAATAAAAAACTTACATTTTTATGGTGTGTTCCTGCTGCAAATACTTGTCTTGCACACACTTGTCAAAGAGAACTAATGCATGCTCTCCCTTTTTCATCCCATTTGGTACTCGGTGTTCTTCCGCAAACTCTGCAGATAAGAGCTCAGATTCTATTTCTTCCAACAAATCCTCTGATGCTGAAACACTCTTTATCTTTGAAATAAGTTTCTTGGTGCAGTCTGTATCATAAGGACTTTCTGAATAAGTCTTTTGATTAGCTGCTTCTGTAAAGGTAGATGACCTTAATTTCTCCAGTATTTGCGTTACTGTCTGTTCTGTTTCATTTGTTTCTGAAATTTGCTTTGCAAAATCTCCACTAGGAAAATCACCTGTTTGTTCAGAATTTTCTGGACATGTGTCTATTTTAGCACAAGAATCCTCTCCTCCACCATAATCTGGATTATAGTTTCCCTGAGCTTCAATTTGATTATGTTTGGTAGGCTGACATAAAGTTTTTTCAGAGTTGAATGACAATAGTTTGAACTCATTTTCTAATCTGCTGCTTTCATCACCAGAAAACGAGCTGCATGAGTCGTCCTTTAATTCAGATGTTCTCCCAGTATTTTTATCACAGGGAATGGCAGCTACATTCTTTGTTTCTGACATGCTGACTGGCACCAGTTCACTTTGGGCGTCTTCAAATCTGCTCTTGATCTTCGTTTTACATCTAGGAAATTGAAACATCAAAATTAAACAAAAAAAATTTAAGCCAAAATCCCATGTATACTTGCACATATACCATGATGTGATATAACTAAGACCACAAACTAATAATTCCTTTAAAAATCTTTCCCTTTCAAAAAGAAAAAAGACTAGGAAAACCAATCCAAGTTGGCTATAACCAGTAGGGCTACTGCAAAGTTCTGTGTCTTTGCATACAGTTTCACTAATTAATCTCAGTTACAGTCTGGCATTCCCTAATTATCCCCATAAAATGTTAAGTAAGAAATAATGCTAGTGACTGGAAAATTAGTGCCAAAGAATGTTTAGAAGTCCTTCAGCTCTGTGAGGAAAAAATGACTACCTCAAGAACCTATAAGAAACACTTCATGAATAGGACCCCAATGGAAGCACTAAAAGAGAAATCACAAACCAAAATAATGGAACAATGTACATTAATGAAGATAAAAAATTTACTGAGAGAGACCTGTAACCCCAGCACTCTAGGAGGCTGAGGTAGGTGGACTGTCTGAGGTCACAGGATCCAGACCAGCCTGAGCCAAGAGCAAGACCCTGTCTCTAAAAATAGCCAGGTGTTGTGGTAGGCAACTGTAGTCCCAGCTACTCCGGAGGCTGAGGCAAGATAATCACTTAAGCCGAAGAGTCTGAGGTTGCTGTGAGCTGTGAAGCCACAGCATTCTACTGAGGGTGACAAAGTGAGACTCTGTCTCAAGAAAAAAACAAAACAAAACAAAACAAAAAAACCCCTAAAGACTCAGCTGCCTATAGCCCAGAGATATAGATCTGAGCTAAAAGGAAGTAGGGTGGAAAGAGTCCCTGACAAAAATTCATTTTTTATCCAGGCAGGGAGGATCTACAAAGTACCACCGTGATTTTCAAATATTCTCATCAGGAATAAAACAATGTTCAGTGCAAATCAGCTCATATGCACTGCTTAGACCAAATTAAAAAATTAATTTGACAGTGTTATATTTTTATATTATGTATGAAGATTATTGTTCTGGTCTATGAAAATTAGCCAACCTCAAAAATTATGAGACACAAATATAAAATATTTCAGTGATCTTAATGAAAAAGAATCGTCAACTTCTTTTGTCAGATGTCCTGTACAAAGTAGGTAAGTTACCAAAGCCATGTGAGGTTAGATAAAAAAGTGGGCAGATTATATAGTTTTGACTACCTAGAAAAGAAGTAATTCCAGATGAGAGTTATACCAATGGAAAACAAAACAAAAATTACAATTCTGAAAAACAAAGATGCATGTTTACATCAGGCTGTGATGGAAGTGATGGTCAAAGGATAATTTAAAAAAAAAAAGGTGAGAAGACTGGTCAGCTAGAATCCTCAGAATGCTGAGCAGGAGTGAATTTTGTTAAGAACAAATCATAATAAATTATAGTGGAGTAGTATACTATGGAGTTCCTAGTATATAAAAGGTTCTCAAATATTTGTTGAATTAAAGCCTGCCTATAAGCACAAACATAATACTAGTATTTGAAAAACATTGTTCTAGGGATGCAGAAAATGGGAAGAAGGATAGTCTTTCTTTTAGTTGAGACTGCTCTTTGGGGTATCAACTCACATAACCATTGGCCTTAACACTCTATTAAACTACCTATCTGTATAACATACATTTCCAAACCAAACAGAAATTATCTTGCTGTGCATATTTTATAACCAAACCAAAGCCCATGCTGTTACTAAAGGCTTGGTTTACAACCAGGAGTTCCAACCTGTGGCCCAATGGCCACGTACAGATTTAAGGACTATTTGGTTTATCTGTAGTGTCAGCTATCTGGAAAAGTATGCACAGACCTTTTCTTTTGCTCATCAGGTTTCATTAGTGTTTGTGTATTTACTGTATGGCTCAAGACAACTCTTATTCTTCCAATGTGCAGCAGAAAAAACGTTGGACACTCCTGGTAGACAATACAAATAAATGCAATAATAAAAGATTTTATAAGTATTCTGTATTCCAAAATCTAGGACAGAGTAAAATAATTCTCAAATAAGGGTACTGCCATCTACATTACCCTACCCAAAGTAACTCAAAGATATAACTTGTGAAGATGTTGCTGTTGAATTTAAACTTGTATCAAAAACCTGCAAATCAATCTAAAAACAAATGAAGGAACTGGTCTTAAACATCATAACTAAGGCTACTGCAATATAAGTTGAACCCTGACCAAAGTGTAACAGGGAGCAGATAAATAATCTATTTGAAGAAATAAAAGACTTCAAAGATGTCATTACAAACACCCCAGCGTAAAGTAAAAAGAAAACTTTATCAACAACATGGTTCTTATCTATGTGCCGTGATTTGTCAACAGAAAAACACTAAGCAAACACTGGCTTAGGCTCTCACCCAGCTTTTATGTTCCCGGATTCAGTCAAGTCTTTGTCCTTCCATTTAGATAATTTGAAGTAACATTCAGAGTTGATGCCTACATAATAATAATTTTCAGTTCTGTACTCTTGAGTAATAGACACCAAATCATCTCATCTTCTTCACTATGTCTGTCTCTGTATTAAAATCTCCATGTGAATACAGGCATTTCCTCTGGAGGTTCTACTATAACCTCAAACTCAAAATGGCCAAATCCAAAATCATCATTATAGCTCCTACCATTGAGCAACAGCAGCTCATCCTTCTATTCTGCCCATGGTATAATTTTCTTAGTCATCTCTTTGTTTCCCTCATAGTCAACAATTTCATGGCTCCTGCATTTCTATTCCCCCTTTCCTCTACTGAGACCTGTGATCCCTTCACATACCTGGAACACTTAAAACTGTTGATTTCTCAATCTCTCTCCATTCCTCCCTCCTACACTCCAAAGGAGCAAGGAGGTTAACGGAAGGGCAGGTTTTTTGGGACAGCCCAGGGATGAGACAGTACCATGGCAAAGGTCACTAAAACAGGCAAGAAGTTGCAGTGTGTACTACACTGGCTCTGTCACAGTGAGACTGCCCTGTGAAGTGCATCTTCAGTGACTAAAGGGGCCAGGGACCCACAACAGTGCCTCTAACAAAACCCCTGTATAGAACCCAGGTAATGAAAGCTCTGCCTGTGCTGGTTAGTCTTCCCCCAGATGGAAAGGGGCTGCCTAGAACATGGAGAAAAGGAGCATGTCTTCACTAAACCTCTTCTTCAAACCACGCTGGTATGAACTAACAGCTTTAACTTTTCTTCAGGAAGGATAAGTTTGTGACTTTGGCTTTAAAAAAAAAAAATAATTAGAACACATCTTAATTTCTGGAATTTTCTCTAATAACCAAAAGTGTGAGAAAAATTGTAACAAAATGAGTGACTAAACTTCAGAGGACAGTTAAAGGGACAGGAATGTTTTATACAGTATGGCTGGAAGCCCATTAAAGAAAAAATTAAACTACTTTATATTTATATTTCAGAATTGAGATTCTTCAATAAACTGGTTGTCCCACTTCTCCAATCTTATCTCTCAACACATTCCTAAAATCCTAGCACTTCATTTTCCTAGCCTGACCAGGTCTATTCAGGTTTCCCCAAATAATTCCATGGCTTTGCACCATCCACAATCTTCTTCCCTTTAGTCTATTTAAAGCCTAATTATTTTAAAGAACTGATTCTAATACCACACTTCTGCGAAATTCCCTCATTGCGAGCACAAAAGTAATCTCTTGGGTAAATTAAAAGACACTGCATTCATACTTGTCAAGCACACAGAGCCTTTCTTGTGACATTTTTGGATGGACATAAATGGTCTTTGTATTTCCAAGAAGAAGGAATCTCACTCTTAACTAAAGCAAACTCCCTAAATCTAAAACAGTAGTATCAGACAAACATAACTAATACATTTTTCTACTGTATTTACCCTCAGTTTGGCAAATGTAATCCAGTTTTTGTTTTTGTTTTTGAGATAGAGTCTCAAGCCGTCACTCTTGGTATAGTACTGTGGCATCATAGCTCATAGCAACCTCTAACTCTTGGGCTCAAGCGATCCTCCTGCCTCAGTTTTTCTATTTTTAGTAGAGACAGGGGTCTCGCTTTTGCTCAGGCTGGTCTCAAACTCGAGCTCAAGCAATCCACCCACCTCAGCCTCCCAGAGTGCTAGGATTACAGGCGTGAGCCACTGCGTATGGCCAATCCAGCGGTTCTTAATGAGGGTAGGACCCATAGGGTTCCAAAGACGTGGACCAGCATTTAGTGGGCTGGAAATATGTTGTAGAAAGACTTGTAATCTGCAGGGTAATGTAGAGCAAAAACGTGCCTCACATCCTGCAAGACATTCACCTAGATTAAAAACTATTTACAAATTACCTAACCTTAGAATCTAGTTTACACATTATCCTCCTGTAAATTAAGGAAGACTTAGATTAAGTTCTAAAGACAAGCACCTTCTATAATTTCTTTAATATGCCCACGATGAAAAAATAATCATGCAAATTAGCATCTAATAACCACTTAGCTTGCAAAGTTAGTTTTCTGATGCTCATATGAATACTGTTTGAAGATCAGAGGAAAAGGAGAGGTAGTTAACAAAGATCTACGTTTATATACGTAACGAAGCCATTACCAAGATTAAGTAAGTGCACAGAGGGCTAGCAAATGGGGACGACCAAAAAAAAATAATAATAATCAGCATTATATGGCTATGATTAACCGGGAGAAAAAACAGTCAGCTGAGTCCTGTAGGCCTTCAGTTGGCAATGCTGATGCAGGTAATCTGATTGCTATCCAAGTGTTTTCTCTTTTCTCTTGGTGATGGGGTTGAGAACTGTCATCAAGGATACTGAGAATAGAATAGCCTACTAGTAGATTAAAGGGGGATGCTGTAAAACTAGTCTTTTATTTACAAGATTGTCTTGATTTAAAAAGTGCTTGTACAAATTAAATTCACACTCATATACAGTAATTACAAGAATAGAGTACAATTTTTTTTTTGAGGGAAAAAAGAAACAGGTTACTTTGACTTTTTAGCAACATTTAGTCATTAAGGGAAATACTGTATTTAAAACAGCACAGTCACAAAACTCCTCTTAATTCAAGCACGTTTTTTAATCCCCAGAGTTGTTTCTGTTTCTGACACAGTACTACAGGACCAATTCACACTTCAAAATTGTTTCTGTAGGTGAGAACTGGTTTCGCTCTTACTGGAGCTCATCAGCTGTAGGCAACTGGTCAAGAAACAATTCTTCTTTGCCTTAGAGCCAACCACCATGTCCACCTTGGATTTTATTTCTTATGAAAGAACTCTTATTTTTATAAAATTATTTCTATACAAGAGCCTTATAAATGAAAATACTTTTTTAACAGCTTTTGGTTTTATTTTCTGTTTTTCCACAAATTGGCACTACAAACAACAAAAAACTCAGGTTTATTCAATAAACTGCAAATACAAAGGAATCCAATCTATAGATAGTCGGTAATACGTTATCAATGCCTCATACAATGGCATCAAATCAGGAATACACTTCCAAAATAGATGTTAATTAATTTATTCACTAAATATATACTGAACAACTATTACTATCCTTAGAGTTGGGAATATGGAAGGAAATGAAACAGACACCCTCACGGGGCCTATATTCTGGTGCAGCCGGCCAATATATAAAGTCTGTATGTCAAATCTTCTACTCCTTGTGTTCTGCTACAATAAACACTAAATCATTACAGATTACATAGTGTTTAACATTATATTTCCTTTTGAGGTCTACCAGTGCTCCATTAGAAGCTATTAAAAAAAATACATGAGTGTTTTAAATCTAATAGAAAAACATTAAGTCTAATAAACATTATGCTGTAAAACTATAAATTTTGAATGATAAACTTATCATTCAAGTCCTAAGCAATACCAGCTGTATACTCCTCAAGTAACAACCACTACAACAAGCAAGTTGAGCCCGTGAGACCACTCCTGGTCTTCAACATAATGGTTTACTGTCCTCTGTAGGAAAAGTATGTCAAAAGTTTTTTTTTTTTTTTTTTTTTTTTAACATTTCTCCAACTACATGTCAAAAGCAGCATAAACAGAAGAATGAGTTATCTTCCTGACTAGTTCTAACAAAACTCTGACATGGCTATTAAAGTCAGAAGCAAAAATCAAATCAAAACAGTATCCACACAGTCCAATATAACCTGCTCACAACCCCCTACTGATTTTTTTATTTTTGAGACAATGTTGTTTATAGGTAAGAGTGCAGAGTGCAGTGGTGTTACCAGCTCACTGCAACCCAACCTCGAACGCCTGGGCTCAAGCTATCCTGCCTCAGCCTCCCTACTCAGTAGCTGGGATTACAGGAACATACCACCACACAGATTAATTTTTTCTATTTTTGGTAGAGATGGAATCTTGTTCAGACTGGTCTCAAACTCCTAACCTCAAATGATCCTCTTATCTCAATCTCCCAAAGTGCTAAGATTATAGTTGCAAGCCACAGCACTGGTTCCGATTTTTGATAGACTTTTACTTTAAAAAACAAACACTTTCCTGGAAAAATCTGTGTAAGAAACATGAAAATTTTGTTTCACATGATGAAAATACCTGACACTCAAGTTTCATGTAATGTGAATTTATGCAGATCAAATTCTTCTTTTAAAAATTAAAATTAATAAATAAAAATTAAGCTGGCTATTTCAAAGAATTCTAGATTAATTCTACAAAAAAGAAGAAACAATTTCTATAATAGTCATATCTTAATTTTATACTAAAATGTAACATGTTCAGTTTCCTTTTAAGTGAAAAGCAACACTAGAATTTTAAAAGTTGTCTTTAGTTCAACAGTTTAAAAGTGTGTGACGTTGAGGCCAAGGTCAATTAACCCTGTGAGGGACTTTTTAGCTTTACACCTAAGACTCATGGCAGGGTGAGTTTTATGGCATATGCATTGTATCACACACACACACAAATGTCATAAAAAAAGATCCCAGGGAAATAGATAAGATACTACTGGAACTCCCAATAGGATCAAATCCCATGAAAAGGTAACAAAAGAATGAGAAACCAAGGTCGGTTAAGATGCCAGGAAAAAGAGGGGCAGTAGCCACATCATAAAGCACATTATCAAGTTATACCACATATGTAATGCCAGTTAGGTACCTTAGATCGATGCAATTTTACACACATAAATAAAATTTTAAAATACTAAAGCATGGCTCGGCGCCTGTAGCTCAAGTGGCTAAGGCGCTAGCCACATATACCAGAGCTGGCAGGTTGGCATCTAGCCCAGGCCTGCCAAACAATAATGACAACTACAACCAGAAAATAGCCAGGAGTTGTGGCAGGTGCCTGTGGTCCCAGCTACTTGGAAGGCTGAGGCAAGAGAATCACTTAAGTCCAGGAGCTGGAGGTTGCTGTGAGCTGTGATGCCACAGCACTTTACCCAGGGTGACAGCTTGAGACTCTGTCTCAAAAATAAACAAATACTAAAGCAGAAAGTTAAGACAGAAATCTTAATTTGAAGTTACTTGTACAGATCAACATTTGCACTTTAATAAGACTAAAACATGAAAGTATTTTCAGATCATGAAATATGAAAACTAAACGAATAAAACAAACAGGTCAACAGTTCTTTTGAGAAAGGAAGGCTAATAACTAAAAATAATTTTTTAAAGGTATATAAGCTGTGAGTTTGCCTTATCTTAAATGGTTTTGGTTAATGTTTACTTTGTGAAGCTACCTTTGGCCTGGGTTTGGTAAACTGTTAGGATGTAGTTTATAAGAAACTTATTCATTAGCACTAACTACCTAATCAATCCTATAGTAGACTATCACTTCCTGTCTCTTAATGACAGATGTTCATGAGAAATATACTCACAATCTAATCAAAACTATGGTGGGGTTGATTTCCATGTTTTATCTATTGCCCCTTGACACCAATATTTTTCCTTTTGTTTACTTCTTAATAAATAAATTTTTAAAATCTCAGTAGCTGAGAAAGTTCAAAGAATTCAGAAACAACCTAAGATTAGAAGGTCATTTACAGATTTAAATCATCCATGACCCCACTGCTGCCCCTAAAATGAATACTAAATATAAGATTGGATAGTGTAAGCCCAGTGGTATGTGTATGAGAAATTCAAGAATGGGCTTTTATTAAAGATACAGATAAGAGGCAAGAGAAAAACCCAAGTTTTATCAATAAAATAAACCTGGAACTTCAGGTTTAGGATCTTTAACATAAAACTATTGGATGAATTTGAGAAACTAGTACACATTACTATTCTTCAAAGGAAAAATGATTTTGTAAATCCCTAAATAAGGCTGCTTCCTACTTCAACCTGAAATCTTTCATAAAGCATATACGGCACTATTTTACCTTCACTTCGTGATGTCAGCAGATAGCTATAAATACATGTTTTTAAACTAAATATACTAGGCAATCATCATCAGTTATGTTGCCATTGTATAGCACCAAAGGGCAATTTGTTAGTTTATGAGTAAAGGACTAAAAGGCTAGAGCGGTCACTGTGCTACACACTAGCCACTCCTATCTGCCAGCAATGATAAAATTCTGAAATGCCAGTAACACTTTAATTGAATCTCCACCATTTAAAGATCCCTAAATTCATATGCAGTTAATCTTAACTAGGCCTTTAAAAAAATAAAATCAATATAAACAAAATCCACAGACCTTCACGAAAATTTTTCAGTAATTATAATGCTTGCCTATGATATGGTAAAAAGGAGTTTTAATTGTTATTACAGCAGGATTTGTAAACTACTTGGTATCTTCAATAAATTTAAAATAGCATGAAAAGACCAAAAAGAAAAGAAAAACTGGGCCAATCAACACTGTGTTTTATTTGTGTAATGATACGTAGAGAATTGAAAAGTACAATGCAAGGGAACAATGTACTTTTATACACAGAGACAGCTCAGTTTCTCTATCACTGGCTCAGGAACCTCAATCTCTCTCACAAGATCAAAACCCTGAAAAAAAAGAAGGTGTAGTTTACTAGCTGGGAAGGCCACACCCACAACTAGCAAACCTAACCATTTAACAGATTACCTGTTTTTGCTGACCATACACAGTACATCTGTTGAAACGTTGTTTTACTGTACATTTTCCTTAGAAAATCACCAGCCTATCATTTCGATAGAAATAAAAAAAGATGGGCATCAAAAGAACATGACACACATGCAGAGAAAACTTTCCAGTACTTGGGATCGTACTGCATATTTTTACTATACTCTCTCTTCTCATTCCCACAGGTAGCAACAAGACTTAACAAGTGAAAGCAGCAAGATTCTAACCCAGATGCTCTGACTTCAAATCGAGGCCTTTACCCGCTAAAACAAAAATCAAGACGTGAATATCAGTCTAAGTTGTTAAACTAGTAACAGCTGGGCAATAATTCAACCTGCAGTGTTCTCCAGGATTGCTACTTGGGGACATGTGGAAAGAGGTTTTTAACATTCTACACACTTGATGAAGATATAAATTTGAAATTCCTTCCTTATCAACCGCAGTTTATGAAATGCCCTGATGTCCTTGGAAGACAACGTCAAAACAAAGAATAATTATCTCTCTTATCCGTAACCTCCAAAAATCATTTCTAAGGAACTTGAAATCACAGTAATGGAAGGGAGTAACACGTAGTCACAGCAGTAAACATAAAACACAGTCAACTCGGAAACGAAACGTGAAATAGGTGATTAAGTCTAAGAAAGATTCTCGAGCAGGTGGGGCTTGGCAGCAGTTCACACTCACATGCCAGGCCCAAATTCCGTCGCTCTCGAGATACAGCCCCCCAGACCCTGCCGACCCGTCTTTGCCGTCTTCCACCCTTGGCATCCTGGAACCCGAACGCGGGTGGGAGAGGAAGGGTCTCGAATCCCGTGCCCCAGCCCTCACCTTCACGCCCCTGACCCCAGAGCAGTCAGGCTGGGAACGGGCTCGCCCCCGCTCCGGGACGGGCAGACAGCGCAAGAGGTTGGCAGCCCCAGGCGGCCGCCACCGCCACTCCCGGGCTCCCCTCTGGCACTCACCGCACTTTTCTCAGCCGCAGGCCACGCCCTAACGAAGCCGCTGGAGTTCTACCTTAGGAGCCAACTTCTTCATAGCGGGGTCCGGCAGAACTGGAGTGGGAGGGAGAAATAGCAGCAAGGAAGAGGGCCGTCACTTCTCTCACCGCCGCAGTTTCCCCGAGCACCCGCGGAGCTGACACATCAACAAAGATGGCGGAGACGCCGAAGCCGGCTTGGCTACAGCTGAGGGGGCGGAGCTCCAAGACGGAGCCAATCGGTGCGGCGCAGTTGGCGTGACGCGACGCACCTAGAAATTCCCCGGTTACCTATCTGCAGTGGGCGGGGCCCAAGGAGCACCGCCTTCTACCTCTCGGCCCAGGGAGGCCCCGCCCCGCACTCAGCAGTGCTGGGCTTCTGTGTCCCTGGGAACCTGAAGGGCCAGCTGTCTTGCCTTTAGTCCTGTCCCGCCTCACACTCTCCTCTCCTCCCCAATCCAAGCAGGTTGTTTCTTTCTGTAGGAAGCGATCATTGGATGTTATCCCTCCTCACCCTTGTCCTATCTACGGTTGAGTCAGGGCATAAAACAGTAAAAGAGAATTCCAAATTGTGGCTTCCGGACTCTGATGGGCAAACCCTGCCCATAATGTAGGCGAAGTCAGTAAAAACAGCTTACCTGTCGGTTTGGCAATTCATCCCAAGGTGAGATCTCGGGGGTGGGAGTCGGGAATGGGGTCTGGATTCCATAACACCAAGTTCTTATCTTCAGTTTGGTGCTATTGCCATTGTATAGAATAAACAGTTGGTGCGTTAATCTCCGGCTGTGAGCTCCTTGAGGGCAGGGAGTGCCCGTTTCTGGCTGCGTAGCACAGCGTCCCAGCGCGCAGCATGGCAACAAAAAGAGCATTAATTATGTACGTACAATTGCCTAACTGGGTCGGGAGAAGGAAGGCGAGCAGCTTTAGTCTGTGGAGGTTGTGCAAACCTCTTAAGTCCAGTAAAACAATGTTCTTTGGTTTAGGACTTATTAAGCACAATTAATGAATGAAAATATTCAGAACAATAGTTAATTCACGTGAGTCTTCAATGCAAGAGTATATAAAGGAAAACTTACTACCATTCTGTTAAGCTTTTCGGTACTGTTGGTGAGGGAAAACTATAACCGTTCCTCTTTCCTTTTCAACAAGAAATGGTACCTCCCTCCTTAAATGAAGGTACTGCGTTGAAACACATTTTGCAGTTGAAGTGTTTGTGGCCGAAAACAAACAAAAAACTAGTTTACTTTAAAACAATAAACCGACCAAACATTTCTAGCGACATGTATTAATCAAAGGGGAGAAAATATTAAGAAACCTTATGCAGATTTCAGCATTCATAGTGGCAATAATAATATTGATATAGCTATTTGTGAATATTTCTGAATTTATAATTAGCATAAAGATATAAATGTTTTTGGGAGCCAAGTGTTTCATTATGAAATAAAAAAATATAAAACCAAAGAAATTAAATAACTCTGTAATCCTATATTTCAATGTAGAAATAATCAGAATGAATGTATGGCGCATTTTTTTTTCAATTCAAGTCTGTCCGCGTGGGCACAGTGGCTCACGCCTGTAATCCTAGCACTCTGGGAGGCTGAGGCTGGTGAATTGCTTGAGCTCTGTAACTGGAGACCACCCTGAGCAAGAGCTAGACCCTACTATCTCTACTAAAAATAGAAAAACTAGCAGGCCTTGGGGCAGGCACCTGTAGTCTCAGCTACTTGGAAGGCCAAGGCAACGGGTTCACTTGAGTCCCAGAGTTTGAGGTTGCTCTGTCAAACACCACAGCATTCTAAAACAAGGCAACTGAGTGAGACTCTATCTCAAAAAAAAAAAAGTCTGTATACTGAAAAAGCGTAGAAAAATGACCAAACCAATAACTGCTCCCCTACTCCAAACTATTATCTCTAAATATCATGTTCCAGTAAAAGTAGGTTGCTCTTGGAGAGGAAGGACTGATTTCAAATGCGAACAAATGTTAACCTGGAACAGCTAAAATGGATCCTGAGTGGCTAACTGGACATAAATTTAAAATAAAGCCAAGAGATCCAGCTGCTGCGGCCTCCTAAGTGCTTGGATTACAGAAGTGAGTCACTTGCTTGAGCTCAGGAGTTCAAGACCAGCCTGAACAACAGTGAGAACCATCTCTAAAAACTGGGGATTGGGGCAGGCACCTGTAGTCCCAGCTTCTGGGAGGATGAAGCAAGAGGATCAGCTGAGCCCGAGAGTTGAAGGTTGCTGTGAGCTTTGATGCCATAGTACTCTACCAACGGTAACAAAGTGAGACTCTGTCTCAAAAAAATTAAAAAAATAATAAAAAAGCCAAGAGGCCATTTGCTGACTTTCATTCACATACATATTTGAAAGTCCCAGAAACTTGTTTATTTATAGACAAAGTCTCACTATGTCACCCTCGGAATAGTGCCATAGCATCACGGTTCACAGCAACCTCAAACTCTTGGGCTTAAGCGATTCTCTGGCTTCAGCCTCCTAAGTAGCTGAATCACAAGTGCCCGCCACAATGCCAGGCTATTTTTTGTTGCAGTCGTCATTGTTGTTTAGCAGGTTTGGGCCAGGTTTGAACCCACCAGCCCTGGTGTACCTGGCCAAGTGCAGAACTCGCCCCGCCCTTTTTTTAACTTGGCGATTTTCAGCACTCTCTTTACCAAACAACCAAGCTCACTGCTTCAGTCTACTTGCAGAGGTATTAGTACTGACCAATCAAAACTCAACTGCATCAACCACCAGCTGCAACAATCTATCAGAACTAAGCAAGTTTCAATATTTCAGTTGCATAAAAGGACTGGACTGGGAACCTGGGTGGGACCTTTTGCAGTGTCACGGAGCCCTCCCTTTGTCTCTGGAACACACTGTTCTTTTTACAGTGGAGGCTAGGTCTCTGGTTTGCACATGGTTCACTGAAATAGCCTCTTTTCTTCAAATTCTTTTTCAGAGAATTTTTGTTCGCAGAAATCTATGGCAAGACATACAAAAGATAAACTAAGACACATCAGTTGTAAAAAATGAAAGGAGAAAAGAAAAACAAAGGTGTTCCAACTGAAGCTAACATATGACAAACATGTATCAAATATATGACATATTTAACATTCAAAAATACTAAGAACAGCAATTGATTCATACACATCAACTACGTTAAAGTCAATGAGCCCATTTATTCTTTTTTTCCCCACAGGACAAAATGAAGATTTAATTTTTTTTCCTTCTCTGGATCATTAGCATATACTTTATAATCAGAAAGAACTCTGGACAATTCCTTTGGATCTAATTACATCCTGATAATTTTAACAGCATTTCCTCCAAACCACCAGGTCTAAACACTCCCAACGTGAGCATTTTTCTAGCCAATAAGCTCTGAAAAGGCCTGCCTTTGCTACACTTAGGGAATGTAAGCCGTTGCCTCAAATCTCCATAGTTTTCACTCTGAACTTTTTTTTCCTGGCTATTAGGGAAGATAAAATATATTTAGATATGAACATAGGTTATTTTATAGTGGTCTACTTCTAGGTAACTTTCTACTATTTCTTTCTTTTTTTTTTTTTTTTTTTTTGGCCAGGGCTGGGTTTGAATCCACCACCTCTGGCATATGGGGCCAGCACCCTACTCCTTTGAGCCACCACCCCACTATTTCTTTTCTTCTTCTACTGTTTTATTTCTACTCTTTTCTTCCTACTCAATATTTTGCAAATTCTTAGTCCTGAATTGCTTTTATAATGAGAAAAGAAATCAGTCCAAGAAATTCTTGAGAATTTTGAGGGGGAGAATTAGGAAAGTTGTGAAACTATTTAGAAATCTTTGAATTTCTTAGAAATCTACTGAGTTCTCATATCATGGGCAATGTAATGGAAGGGTTCAGGGTGGTTTGTAGTTGGGCAGAATCTGGTTTTAATTGAGCCCATTTATTTTCTAAAATGTCATTGACCCTCTTGGAAGATGCCAAGGAATCATTACATTTTGAAAACTGATAAAGGTAAAGAATCAAGCATTTATCCTGTTTTTCCTGTTGTAAACTGAATCTCAATCAAATGCTTTATGTGAGAAATTTCTTCTCTATAAAATTCTGTGTAATAAACGCAGATGGAAAAGGTAGACTACCATCATTTTGCAAACCCTAATGAAATAATGGAGGTAATATGAGTTTAGATCCATTAGATGAAAAACTGATGGGAAACCTTACAGAGCATGGAGGGGGCTGATAGCACTTGAACTTACTGCATCAATCTTAATATCCCCTAATGTGAAACAACTACATATTATGATATGTATCTTGTGACAGGCTGCAGTAGAGAAACAACACCAATTTTAAGTGTGAGGTATTCTTGCCAAAGGGGATGCAATCAAATCAAAAGTGAGACCAACTGCACTTACTTCAGCAAGTAAATCACAAAGTGCAGGATTAAAAAACAAAAATCTCTTTAAAATAAAACACAGTGCAAATACAGGACCTTGTTTTTATCCTGAATCTAACATACCAACTATTAAAAATAACATTTGAGACTATCTGGAAATTTTAAATACTGACTTTATGATATTAAGAACTATTTTTAAAGGTGGGATAAATTTTGGTGATGTTATTTAAAAGCCATAGTCCCTCAAAGACACATGCTTAAGCATGGATGAAAAGATGCAATATTCCAGAAAGCAAGAAAACAAAAACAAATCCTCACATCGATGGGAGCATGGGAGAAAGGTGAACAGAAGCCAAATGAATGAGTTCCTACTGGGCAAAGAACAAAATTGGAGCCAGAAAACAATAGTATTGGATTATAAAGTATAAAATAAATATCTATGAGTCTATACTGATATGAATAGATAATTGAATAAATTAATAAATGAGGGAGAACAGATAACTCATGCACAAGTATCCCAAATAGGCGTGGCACCTGTGGCTCAAGCAGCGATGGCGCCAGCCACATACACCTGAGTTGGTGGGTTGGAATCCAGCCCAGACCCACCAAACAACAATGATGGCTGCAACCAAAAAGTTGCCTGGGCGTTGTGGCAGGCACCTGGTCCCAGCTACTTGGGAGGCGAGGCAGAGAATCGCTTGAGCCCAGGAGTTGGAGGTTGCTGTGAACTGAGACGCCACGACACTCTACCCAGGGCGACATCTTGAGGCTCTGTATCAAAAAAACAAACAAGTATCCCAAATAATTGCTCACGGAGGCAGAGCATAACTCCCTACTCCTTTGATGGGGGTTCAAAATAACGGCTTCCTTCTAAAGAGTATAGCATGGAAAGGAGGAGGAAAAAGCAACTTTACAGCAGAGAAACCTAACACTACTTCAGCCGATGATCAAGTCCAATATCAATCGACATGGAATCACTCTGTCAAGACCCACACTTGATATGATGTACTTTATCTCTGGGGTCTTCCTAGAATCCATAACTCTACTCTTACCATGAGAAAAACATCAAATTCCAATAGTGGCCCATCCAACACAAGGTCTGACCTGTGCTTCTGGAAGCTGTAAAGGTCATCAAAACAAGGAAAGTCTGAGTAAGTGGCCACAGCCAAGAAAAGCCTAAAGATACGTGACAACTGCTAAAAAAAACGTAACATAATATCTTGGATTGGATCCTGGCTCAGAAAATGGACAAAAGATAAAAACTAAAGAAATCCAAATCAATTACTTTCGTTGACAATATATCCATATTGGTTCTTTAACTGTAAATGTACCATACTAATAGAACATGTTAATATAGCGGAAACTGGGTGTAGCGTATGTGGGAACTTTCTGTATAGTACTTTATTTTTTCTTTTCTTTTTTTTTTTTCCCCAGGGCTAGGTTTGAACTCGCCACCTCCGGCATATGGGGCTGGCGTCCTACTGCTTTGAGCCACAGACACCGCCCAGTACTTTCTTTTCAATTTATTCTGTTTATCTAAAAATGTTCTAAAAAATACATTAGAAAGATAAAAATCTGGGATTCGATTCAAAATATCCCAGGAAGAGTGAATGGGCTATCTATGTAGACAAGACTGATAATAAACTAATAATGCTGGAAATCAGTGGTGGGTACACTGAGATCTTATGAATTTGTTAGAAAAGTTCCATAGCAAGAGAAAATGAGAGATCAAGAGATACCACCTGTGTTTTGCTCCCAAGACCAGGTAGAGGCAGTGGATTAATCGGACCTATAAGTGGCTAAGAGGCCCAAGGGCGGAGGCAGGGTGCTTCTTTGCGCTCAAAGTTCGTCTGCCTATGGAGTTCCCTGGCGCACCTTTCTAGAAGAAGCTCCAACTGTAGTTTCCACAGAGGAACTCTGTGAGCCGGCAGCCTCCGCACCCCACCCCAGTACAAACTGTGCAGTACCCAGAGCACCGCCAGGGCCGGAGCTCAGCTGGAGTGGAACTGAGAAGCCGCCACACGTGGGCGCCGGGGGGCGCACGTGGGCGCCCACTGCGCAGGCGCCGCGCTGGGACCTAGGGCCTGCTGGGCTTTGGAGGCCAAGTCAGCCCGGAGAGCGCACGTAGGTGGCCGGGCTTGGGGAACCAGCAGTCGCCGCCACGGCCCGCCTTCAGAGACAGGTCGGGGTCAGCGGCCCTTTTGCCTCTTTCCAGGTCAGTGTTTCGAGAGTCATAGGGGAGGGCGAGGGGCTGCATGAGGGCTACGGGGTTTGGGTCGTTGGGGGCCAGACGTTGGGCGCTGGACGTTGAGGTCGGGCGTTGAAGTCGGGCGTTGAGCGGGTACTAGGGGCCTGCAAGTGGAGGGAGGATGGAAGGTAGAGACTCTGGAGCCTTGGCTGGGAAGGGCAGATCTAGGGTTAGAGGTTAAGGTGTGGGAGGACTCTGTTTTGGTTGGTGGGGCGGGAAGTGCAGGAACTAGGGTGCACGGAAAGCTTGAGGCACTGCAATGAGTTTGGAAATAGCACTTCCAGGCATGGCTCCGCAAATTGTGAGCGTTCTCCTCTCTAAAAGGAACTTTGTAGATTCGGTGACTTCGTTTAACTCAAAACTACAGTACAAGCAATATTAATACTTTATTAGACACTTTTTCCCCTGACCCGTCTTGCCTTCTATAGGAAAGGAAAATGCACGGAAGGAACTTTGTAGATTCAGTGACTTCGTTTAACCCAAAGCTACAGTACAAACAATATTAATACTTTATTAGATACTTTTCCCCCTGACCCGTCTTTCTTCCTATAGGAAAGGAAAATGCACCAGGGCATTCATTCACTTATATAGATAAACTGGTACCGGTTCATTTAATGTTTATAGCTTGTTGGCTGTGTGCCATTGGCTTTTCTTGCACTAGGGCCCTTGATACAAATGTTTGCCCTTTGGGGCCTATGAACCTAGAGAACTGATATTTCAGTTCCCTTAGTGAGGCAGAGGGTACTGTAATCAAAACCTCTAGGCGGTGAAATCTAGCCTGCATTCATTTCAACTGTGTTAGGTGCTGGTGGTGCTGGCAGAGAGGGGCTTGGCAATTTGTTTCAGCTCCCCAGATCTCCCTTCTGTAGGAACGAGATAAGAATGCTTTAATCCTCAAGTAGTTTCTATCCTAAACTTGCAAATGGGTTCCACATGAATGAAAGAAATTTTGTGTGTGTTTAGCAGTGGTCTAAGGGTAGAGTAGAAAGCCACTGTGCTAAGTGGTTTAACGTGTCGTCTCTCCTCAAGATGTGCACATTTTACAATCACTAAATCCTAGAAAGATGAAGTGATTTGCCCAAGATAGCTTAGCTAAATGAGGAAGTTGAGACTTGAATCTGGCTGCCTTCAAAGCCCGAACTATTGAATTTTGTAGCTTTAAAACAGAATGTTTCCTTTGAGTAAAAGAATGGCTCTCACTGGTTACATGGGGTTATCAGGAAGACAAAAGAAAACGTTAGAGAAGGAAAAATACTACAGCTAAGTATTATCTCTGCGTGCACTTTTGATATTAAAAGCACTTTAGGCTGTGGTTTCCTGATGGGAAAAGAAATAGCTTACCTTACAGTGTATCCTAGGATGCTCCCAGTAGCAGGAGAGAGAGGGGGGAAGATTTCAAAGGAGTTAAAGAGGGTCTGCTCTAGGGAGTGTCAGGTCTTACTGGGGTCAAAGCATGAAGCACAGAACAAAAAGATGCATAAAGCTCAGACCACATTTTTACCTGTAGAACCATAGAAATTAGTCACTTTTAGGCCTCAGCTCTTTTATTACATGAGTGGTCCCCAATTCTGAGAAAATAAGGATGCCTTTTATAGAAAGAAGTATTGGAACCCTTCTAATTAACTTCTTGTTTTAACTAAATAAGCACATAACTAATTATGGTGGATTCCAAGATCATTAAATGCATTTTTATTCATCACCAGCATAGCATGTCAAAAAAAAAAAAGGTAGATTATATCTGGGGGAAATTGTTTATTTGAAAACAGAGTGAGGTCAGCCCTTGAGGTTTTGGGAACTTTGCAGCAATTTCTGTAACGTCTTTTTACCTGTGTATATGAGGTCTGCAGCCTGAGACTGGGAATCATATAGCATGATGCCATAGGGCCTGTCCACTTGAGTTTCAGATATTCCTAGTGATTCGCACAAGGTGAAGCCAGGTAGGAATGAATAACTGCAAAGTGTTACAGGTGTTTTTAATGTTAAAATTCAGCCTTAAAAACCTGCTCTGAATCTCAGTTACATATGTTACATAAATCTGTATGTTTACATTCATAGCACATAAGTGTTTCAACATTAAGTGTTGAAATTCATAGCACTGTGCAAATGAAAGTAAATACAATGATATGATAATTACACATTTTAAACATGAAATTCCGAAAGGTTTTAGGTGACTGAAAGTTTTATGTGGACTCTTGGCTGCTTGCTCCAAACACTAATGCATAAATGGAAGTAGTGTTCAGAGTCAGGGATATCTCAACTCTCCTGGTGACTGGTTGTCGGCCCACATCTGGCTCCTGTGCTGTTATGAGAGTCCCATCTTTATGAGGGTCTCTGATGAACTAGAGAAAGTGCACAATCAGGAGGAGTCTGGAAGATGTCATGTGGTAGCCAGGCATTGTGGTGGGCGCCTGTAATCCCAGCTACTTGAGAGGAAGCAAGAGAATCATTTAAGCCCAAGAGTTGGAGGTTGTTGTGAAATGTGACACACAGCACTCTACCAAGAGTGACATAGTGAGATTCTGTCTCAAAGAAAAAAAAGATGTCATATGAGTAGGTGAAAGACCTGGAGGAAGGGGACCTGAAGGTGGTTTCAGGTATTTGGAAGACTGTGGTTGCAGGGCAGCAACAGGAGTGAGTCTGTCGACAGGAGACCCATTTCACAAAGAAGATTGGAGTGCAAGTGAATGCAATGAGAGGACGACACTTCTAGTCCTAGAACAGGTCTAGATATCTATTTGCCCTGGGTGTGGCAATGAAAATTGCTAAATAGGGTGAGGCAAGTGAGGTGTCTTTGAAACCTAAATACTCTACCATATTTTAAGCTGAAATCCTCTTTATTTGCTACTTAAACTTTATAATGATTCTAAGACTGACGTTGTTGTAAAGGCAAATACATTTACTAACACTTGGCTTTTAGAAGAGTTGGTATTGTTCAGGTTTTGGCCTTAAATTTCAGTAAACCTCAAACCGCATGATGTAATTTTCCACTTTAGATTGGCAGATGTCATTTCTAACATTGGGTTTCGTTTTCCCTGTCCAAGTTGACATGAAAACAGCAAAGTAGTGTTTTTTAAGTAGTTATCATACAAGTATCTTTCGACTGCCTAGCTGTTCAAAGGACCATCTTGGATGCTGTGGGAAATCAGAGGTGTTCTGTGTTTATTTTTTAAAATGAGAATTCCTGAACTCAAGCAACTTAAAATCCAGAAGACAGAATTGTCTATAGGTGACTGTAATACAGGGTGAAGAGGAGCTGACTGTGGATTGACTTGCAACCTAAGTTACCAAATAAAGACGCGTCACAAAGGGAGTAACTCTCAGGAGTCACATGTGACATGTTGAGGGTCCTCCTACTTGGTCTCTTGAGATGAAAATGACTATACCCTAGTTGTATGGTATAAATATTAATATAATTCTTTACTTGGTTTAGAATTAAGTAACCACTCTGAGGAAGAAATAGTATAATATTAAGTGATACTTGAATCTTTAAAATGTTTTTTTCTATAAAAGCAATTCATTCTTTAACATAATTTAGAAGATGAAAAGAACAGTGAGAAAGTTTCCTCATCAACACACCTACCCCAGAATTCTCATTGTTATTTAAAATTCATCTATTTTTGAGCGGCACCTGTGGCTCGAAGGAGTAGGGAGCCACGTATGCCGGACCGAGGTGGCGGGTTCAAACCCAGCCCCAGCAAAAAAAAAAAAAAAAAAATTCATCTTTTTTTCACAAAGTTCTGTATTTTCTTTCACAGTTAAAATCACATCGAATATACAGATATTTTTCCTGATTTTTTTCATTTGCCATGGTAACAGACATTTTACGGTGTATTTGAAATCTAGGATTCTGAATGATTGTGTAATAGTTTATTTCATAGAGGCTTCCCAGTTAACTATTTCTTTTTCCTTTTTGCCATTTTAAATGGATATTAATACATATAGGACTTTTTTGGCATTTGGGATTACTTTATTGGAATGATTTCCAGAAATAAAGTTACCAAATCAGCGGCTAAAAAGGTTTTTAAAAACTCTTTAGACACATGTGTATTGCCATACTGCTTCTGAGAAAGAGCATATTATAATGATTTGTACTCCCTTCAGTCACGAGTGACCTTTCTTTTTCTCTTTTCCTTTTTTTTTTTTTTTTTGAGTGTCCTTTTTAATTGCACCCATGCCGGGCAGAAAATAACACATAGACCTTTCGGTTGGAATTTTTTTTACTATAGATGAGGTTGGATGTTTTCCCTCTGATGTCAGTCTCAACTAATCTTCAAGCTTTCTGTAGTCTCTTTCTGCCTTTTGTTCATTTATTTTATTGGTATCTGCACCGATTGGGCTGCAAATCACAGAAAACTCCCCGGGCTTATTTGACGCTGCGGCAAGCCTGGGCAGCCCAGAGCTGCAGTGGGACTCAGCTCTGCATTTTCTCTCCCATCATCCTGAGGGTGTGCCCACTGCTTCCTGACTGGGTGGTTTGTCTCCAGGCCTCGGGGCCACACAGCAGGGAGACAGAAGTGAGGCACCCTGCTAGCCACACCTGTCCCCTTTCATGGGGAAAGGGTAGAGCTTTCAGACGAGGCCCCCTCAGGAAAACTCACATTGTGACCAGTATTGCCTCTAACTCTAGCTGGCACATCGGAGGTTGGATGGCATTTGAGTCAGTCAACCATGGTGTCTGCTGAAGTATCAGAATGCTTTCAATATTTATCCACTTTTGAGAAGGTATCAGATTTGTCATCTTGATGGTAATACTTATTTTCTGGCCCGTTTGCAATTTTTAGTAAACTTTTAATTGTTCATGTGGTCAGTTTTGCTATCATTTCTTTAGTGATTTTTTTTTTTTTACAACCACTTTTAAATTAAAACAACCCCCAAGCCCACTCCCCCTCCCCCTCCTCTGTGGTTGTTGCGGGCTTATTGCTGGGAAGCATGATCTGCGCTGGAGATTTCTGTATATTGCGATGCTTGAGTGTGGCCTATATCATACTAGTGGTTTTCTGAAGTTAGTTGAAGTGGTCTTTGTAGTCCAGTATGTGCTCAATGTTGGAAAAATTACTGTTCTTGGTTGTATTGGTCCCTGTTAGATCTAGAGTGCTGTGTTACTAAGGTGGTGTTTACTGTGGCTTGTCCAGTAGGGTCTAAGGCAGGTGTGTCCTTAATGTTGTGGATTGAATTTTTTTCTCTTCAACTGGTTTTTGCTTTACCATTATTGTGACTCAGAGATTCCTGGCTGCTTGCTGTGTCCTTGGAATGTTTTTTTTTTTTTTAAATTGGTGTAAAATATCTTCCTTTGTCTCAGTGTTTTCTATTATTTTACCTGCAGTTGACATTCTACCTTTATTTTAGTTATTTGCATAGCACATAACTGGTCCTTTTATTTTCAGCCCTGCCATATAATTTCGTTATAAAGTGTGCCTTTTGTGCCTAACATGTTGCTGAATGTCTTTCCTCCTTGGGTCTGTCCTTTTTAATTTTTTTTTTTTCCTTCTTTGATTGAGACTAACCTGTTGATAACTTATTTGACCTTGGTTTTGTCATCTTAATGTTTTCTATTTACCTTATTTTTCTGTTAGATGAAGACTTTTTTTTTTACTCTGTGATTTTAAAGATATGCATTCTGCTTCTACTGGCAGTTTCTGTAGTATTTGAATGCATATTATTTGTATTTCTTGTTCAGAGTCTAGAGTTACTCAGCGTTCACATCCCCATTCCCAGCCAGTTTCTGCCGGAGGTTATTTTCCTTTTGTAACTTAACAATATTACTGTCTTATTGCATAAAGCATTGCCGTTCTAAGTCTGTTCCTGCAATTTAGGCACACTTAGCAGGACAGGTGTTCTTCCTCTGGCAGCTGTGGGATCCCTCACGGTTGCTCCCCACCTGCAGTCCTTCTGTTAGGGATCTTCCCAGCATCTGGTTCACTGAGAGTTCTCCACTTTGGTGTGTGCCTATTTTCATAAACTTCATTATGTTTTCTGTATTGTCACTGGATTAGTGTAGGTCTAATTTAAAAGAAGAAATGAGATAGAAGTCTTGGGATATCAACAGGAAGGGTTTGTCTGCAGTTTATTTATTTTCCATTTAAAACCATCTTAAACAATATCTAGATATCAATGCTCATGCTAGTTTCAGCTTTTTCTCACTCCTCCAACCCCCAGCAGTTTTGGGAGAGTAAACAGAAGTTTTGCCTGCAGTTTGCAGATAAAGCTAGAGGTCACTACTTCATAAAGAAGAGTTGCTTGTCACATTAATTACTCCCCCTAGGCAGGGCACTTAGTATTCTTTAAGAGTAAACAACACACCAGCATCCTTACTGGATAGAGATTATCAGAGGTGTTTTGTGACAGATTAAACACAGAAAGCTTATAGTGCAGAAAGGTGCACACAGATAGGCCCTTAAAAGCAGTAGGTACACGTTGCAATTTATACTTGTTCAGCTGGAGATTATCAAAGCAGGGAGCTGGGGAAAACCAAAGGGAATGGTCAGCTGAGGGGGATTGTGACGGGATGATCAGGCAGATGAGAGAGGCAGGGTCTTCTGGGTAGTGAGTGCAGCATATTCAAGGACTCAGTGTAGCATAAAGAGGAGAGGGGAGCAGAGTTCTGAGCTAGGTGATGACCCAGTCAAAACAGTAACCTGTACTGTATTTTGTCTTGAAGCTGTAGGGTTTAGGTTGGAAATATTTCTTTTGAAACACGAAAGACCTTTCTATTGCTGTTGCTTCAAAAGATTTTAAAAGTAAAGAATTGAACTCTGGGATTACTCTTTTGGTTTCTTCTTGAGTTGATCTCTTATTGGTCTGTTAAATTCAGCTGAATTGGAGTCTGTACTAATTGATAGAGAATTTTCTTTTCTTGTGCTTCATAGGGTGGACTTTGATGTCCTGGTTATGTCTGCTTTGGAATTGTTTGTAGAATTACCTGTTACATAAGTATTTGAAAGAAGTCATCTGAGCCTGCTGCAGTTCTACTTTTGAAATTAAAAGTTGCCTCTTAAATACATTTCTTTCCTTAGACCTCTATGAATGTTAAGTTGCCACTTAATATGATGTCAAGAAATAATTTGGAAGCATCTACTTGTAAAATGACAGAACCATTTAATTTTGAGAAAAATGAAAGCAAGCTTCCGCCACATGATTCTTTAAGAAGTCCTGGAGCACATCCTAACCATCCTAATTTCAGGTTGAAAAGCCCAGAGAACGGAAATAAAAAGAAAAATTTTTTGCTTTGTGAGCCAACAAAACAGTATTTGGCTACTCAAGAAGACAGTTTGCTATCTTCAAACCTTAATGGCATCAATGGGGAGGTGCTTGGATCTAAAGGAGACAGGAAGAAATTGCCAACAGGTGAGTGAAAACTACAGACTTACTATTCCTTTTTGATTCTGATGGTTTCTGTCACTTAGCACAAGTAGATGAGGGCTGCCCAGAGAGTATCCAGCCATTGTTAACACTATTTTTATATTACATGGCTGAATACTCTCTGGACAGCCCTGGTATATAACCACACACAAGTGGGAAGTTAACAGAAGAGGCAAATGCGTACTTTACAGTATTTACATTTCATTGTTTAGAAGGAAAAATCAGAGACCAAGAAGCTACTTTTGGTATGATTGATCACAGAAAAGATTCTTGGGATCTGCAGATGAGCTTTTCTCCTACAAAGAGCTATATTAGGAATGTGGAAAGGAAATGCTCTGACTTTTTAAATGGGCATTCTAAGGATTTGCCAGTTTTTAAAATTCCATGCAAATTTTATGCATACAATAACTCACAATACTATATCTAAAATTTTAAACTGATTTCATGTGATTTGTCTTATTTCACTCATCTCAATTCCAAAAACTTTCTTTTTCATTTTTATTGTTTAAGACAGTCTCACTCCGTGGCCCTGGGTAGAGTGCCAGGGCGTTATAGCTCACAACCTCAAATTCTTGCCTTGGCCTCCTGAGGAGCTGGGCCTACAGGAGTCCACCACAATGCCCAGCTGGTTTTTTCTATTTTTAGTAGAGACGGGGGAATCTCACTTTCCCTTAGGCTGGTCTCAAACTCCTGAGCTCAAGCCTTCCACCAGCCTTGGCCTCCCAGATTGCTAGGGTTACAGGCATGAGCGGTCGTGCTTGGCTTCTAAAACTTGCTTTTTAAGAAGGGTAGGATCTGCTAGAATTTGGCCTCTTTGACTATATGTGACGTGTGGTGATATAACATTATGCTGATGTAATTCTCAGAATGTGGCCCTTGGGCCTCTTAATAACATTAAAACATGATTTCCCTTTTTTGTTCTCCTGACTTTGTACTAATGCTACGAAAGCAAATAGTGATGGGTGAAGGCTTTACTAGCTCAGCTTCAGGCAGGGGCACTGACCTGGGCTAATAGTCCTTGAGCTTTTCGTTGCCGTATTCTTGAAATTAAACAGAACCCAGAAATACCAATTTCACTTAAATATGTCCTTGATGGAGCTGTAAAAATTATTAATTTTATAAAGTCTTGATCTTTCTGTACAGCTGTTTTCAGTATTGTGCAATGGAAATTACTCCTAACTTATGAAATCTGAAAGTATGAAAAGCATATGTCGTAGTTGAGTTGTAAGCTGAGGGGAGACTTTTTTCTCTAAACATCCTTTTCACTTGAAAAGAATGACAAAATGTTTTTCCAGACTTTTGTATCCGGCAAGCATTTTCTCAAAAATTAATAATGTGAGTCTGTTGCTTCAAAGAAAACAGCTGGCAGTATTTCATTAATGGTAAAACTCATGTCTTTAAGCAAATTGGGATTTCAAAAAACTTGTCTGCCTGAGTTTAAGAACTTCCCTGTACTTAGACTTTTCTGTTGAGGTGCAAGGTGATACTAACATGAATTTTTGGTATCATATAATGGAGTGTGTAAACATTTGGCAACTGCCTGACTTGGTGACAGTTGTTTCCAAATGACCAGGGCATGGTTTTGCAGTCACGTGTGGGTAAAAATCACTCAAAGGGCAGGTTAAATCAGTGTATTCTAATGTAACAGCATGAAAAGTTCATGGAGGTGGTTTTAGAATCTGCATTGCAACTACTGTAACCCTTAAAGTACTACTTGTGCTTGGATATGATATTAAAGGAGACTATCTACAAACATCGAAGGACATTAAATATTCCTCCTTTTTGCAAATACTATGTGAGGCTAGATTTTTTTTTTTTCAGGTGCATCAACCAAGACCACATATCATGACAGTTAATGCAGAAGTGTATATGTAAATCCATCTGTCTCTTGAGCCAAATATTAAACAGATACACAAAAATGTAATTTCTTACTATGTTTTACTTTAAAAAAGATAAAGTTTAAAAAACAGTCAACATGTAATGCATTCATTTTTAGATGAATATTTTATTATTTTTTTTTTTTTTGAGACAGACTCTTTGTCACCTGTGGTGTCATAGCTCACAGCAACCTCAAACTCTTGGGCTCAAGTGATCCTTTTACCTCAGCCTCCCAAGTAGTTGGGACTACAGGCACCCGCAACAGTGCCTGGCTCCTTTTTTTTTTTTTTTTTTTTAAGAGATGGGTGTGGGGGCTCTCACTCTTGCTCAGGCTGGTCTCAAACTCATGAACCCAGGCAATCCACCTGCCTTGGCCTCCCAGAGTGCTAGAATTACAGATGTGAGCCTTAATTATATGCCTGGCCTTAAATGAATATTTTAAATTTAGTTTGAACTCCTAATATAGTAAATATTGGTAGAAATAAGCCATGTAGAAATAGCTTTTTGGGGTCCTCAATTTTTAAGAATGTAGAGGGGTTCTCAGTCCAAAAAGTTTGGGAGCTGCTGCCGTAGCGAGTAGAGAAACATATGTACATGAGAGCAACAGTAGTTAAGGAAATTTCAGAGAAGTCTTTATTTTCCTAGAAAAAATAGGATGCTGCTTATTTATGGTATAGTTAATATGGCCATTCTGGCTTGGCCCTGTAATTTGAATATCACCTAATGATGCTATTTTATATTATCAGGAATAAAAAGTATTGTTTGGCTTTTATTAGGAATTATTTTTCCTCCCCAGGAAATTCGGTGTCGCCATTAAAAATTGGAAATAATTCACCACCCAAAGAAATAAATCCTGTAAGTTATTTTTTAAAAATCTATTTTGCAATTTTCTTTTTGGTTAAAAAATTCTAAATGTATTTTTGTGTTTTATTAATGAAGTATTCACTTTGTAAGTATCGTTTTGATCAAATTTCTTTAATCTAGGACCTTTAAAAAGAAACCACAACTTAATTCATTTTGGGTACTTGTGGATTCACATGCAGTTGTAAGAAATAACAGAGGGAGGTGCTGGGTAGCCTTTGCCCAGTTTCCCCAATGGTAACGTGCCACGGAACCATGGGACCACATCATACTAGGATTGATACCATCAGGATACAAAACATTTCCATCACTACAAGGGTCCTATCCGCTTCCATTCTGCCCCACCCTCTTGTTAATCCCTGGTAGCCACTAATAAAATCTGTATTTCTCCTGTTTTTCCATTTTGAGAATGTTACGTGAATGGTTGCATACAGGCAGTGTGTAATCTTTTAAGACTGGCCTTTTCATTTTGCATTTATTCCCAGTAGATTGATCTAGGTTGCTGTATGTGTCAGTGGTTCGATCCTTTTATTGATAACTTGTCCAACCATTTGCCCATTGAAGAACACCTGGACTGTTTTCCATTTTTTGGGCTATTAAAACTAAAACTGCTGTATGCATTTATGTACAGGGTTTTACGTGAACCTACGTTTTTAGTGCTTTAGGATAAGTGGCGAGGGATGCAATTTCTAGGTCGTATAGTTTTGCATCCGTTGTTGTTTAAGAAACTGCCAAAAGTTTTCCAGAGTGACTGTAAGAACATCTTAGTGATCCGGTTTCTCTGTGTCCTAACCAGCGTCTGGTATTGTCAGTGTCCTGTTTTCATGATGTGTCGTAATCTCATTGTGGTTTTAATTTGTTTTCCTCCAGCCATGCTACCTGCATTTTCATGTGCTTATCTGACATCTGTATATCGTCTTTGGTGTAATATTTTCTGTCATCATTTTCTAATCAGATTTTTTTTTTACTGTTGAGTTTCAGAAGTTCTTTATATGTCTCAGATGCTAGTCCTTAGTTGAGTATGCAATTTGGAAACATTTTATGTTAGTCTGTAGCTTGTTTCTTCGTCCTCTTAATAGGGTCAGTTTTGTTCCTTTCATGGATTATTGCTTTTGGTGTTAAATCTAAAAATCCTTCGCTACTCTAGATCCTGAAAATGTTCAGGTTTTTTTCCCCGAAAAAGTTTGATAGTTTGACATTTTACATTTAAGTTTTGATTAAGTTAAGAAACTTAGGTTTACTTTTTTACCTGTTATTTAGGTTGAGGTTTACTTTTTTTTTCTTTTGGCTTGTATATGTTCATTTATTCTAGTGTCATTTGTTGAACTGCTTTTGTACTTTTGTGTCAAATCAGTTGGCGTATTTGTGTGGGTCTGGTCTCAGTTCTCTATTGTTTTCCATCGATCTGTGTGTTTTTCTGTCTCTCAATACCACAAAATCTTGATTACTGGACTAACGTAATAAATTTTGGAATGGGGAAGAGTGATTCCTCCTAGTTTATTTTTCTTTTTCAAAGTTGTTTTAGCCATTCCAGTTTCTTTGCCTTTCAATATGTGTAGTTTAGAATAATCTTGCCCATATCTATGAAAAATCATCCTAAAATTCTGACATGAATTGCATTAAGCCTATACATCAATTAGGGAATTATTGACCTCTTTGCTGTGTTGCATCTTTAATCCATGAACACGGTACCTCTCCATTTATGGTCTTCATCTTATAGCTTACAAGTTCTGTATGTGCTTTGCCAGATTTACACTTAAATATTTTCATTTTTTGAATGATTATAAATACTATTTATTTCTCTGTGTCCTCACGTTCATTGGTAATATACAGAAATATTATTGGGTTTGTATGCTTATCCTATGACTTTGCTAAAGTCACTCATTCTAGGAATTTTTTTAGATCTCTTAACAATTTTCTACGTAGATAGTCATCATCTGCAAATAGAGACGGTTTCATTTCTTCTTTAAAACTTCTAAACAACAGAAGTTTATTGCTGGAGGCTGGGAAGCCCAAGATCAAGGCTCCAGTCTTGGTGTCTGGCACAGGCTCTCTGCTTCATGCTTCATGAGAGGCACCTCGTTGCTCTCTCACACCTTTCTTTTTAATTTTTTTCATTTTTAAAAATTATTATGGGTAAATCTTCTGGCAACCACTTCTCTTTGATTTCCCTTCGTCTGAAAATGTCTTTATTTCCTCTTTATTTCTGAAGGATATTTTCCATGGATAAGTTTATCATTTAAAGTTGTTTTCTTTTAAAACTTGATAAATGTTTTGTTACTTTTGGGATCTACATGGTCTGGAATGAGAAATCTACTGTCTTTTGAATTGTTTTCTCCCCACTGGCTAAAGTATCATTTTTCTCTTTCTGCTTTCAAGCATTTAGTTTTCAGAAGTTGGATTCCGATGTGTTTTGATGTAGATTTCTTTGAATTTATTTTCTTCGGGGTTTGCTCACCTTCTTGAATTAGATTTATGTTTTTTTGCCAAACCCTGGAAGTTTTCAGCATTTATTTCTTTGAGAATGTTTTAAGCTTAGCCTTCTTTCTCCTGTCCTTCTGGTAGTCGGAAGACCTGAATGTTCAATCTTTCATTACAGTCCAGCTTAGACTCTGTTTACTTCTTTTTGTTGGGGGTTTTTTTTTTTTTTTTTTTTTTTTGTAGTCCATTTTCTCTCTTTTGCTCAGCTTAGGCAATTTCTGTTCTGTCTTTTATTTCACTGATTCTTGCCTCTTTCTCCTCCATTCTACTGTTGAGCCCACTGTTGTGTTTTGTTTTGATTATTCCACTTTTCAGTTCTAAAGTTTCCATTTGGTGGTTCTTTATATCTTCTGTTTCTTCACTGAGTCTATATTTTATTTTGAGCATGTTCATAATTGTTATAATATTGATAGATGCTTTAATAATTGTAGATAAATTAATATTTGTCATTTTGATGTTGGCATCTTTTTCTTCTGTTTTCTTTTCTTTTTTTTTTTATTCTTGGAAAGATGAGTTATTTTCTACTGAAACCGGGATATCTTGGCTGTATCTTATTTAAACTTTCTCTTAGCTGACTTCTTCTGACCCTGCTCCATCTAGGGAAGGGGACCGGCCTTATTACTGCCAGGTGGGGGTAGGCAGTTGTCCAGGTTCCCCTCTCGGCCTCTGACATTCAGCTTGGGGGGTTGGTGGTGGGAGTTCTAGCTTCCCACTAGGCTTCAGCCAATTCCTCTCTGGCAGAGAGGGGTGACAAGTTCTTTGGGTTTTCTTTTTGCCTCATAGATCCTAGATTGGGTGCTGGAGAAGCCAGCAACCCCAAGACACCTTAGTCTTGTTACTGCTCCCCATAGGTCCCTACTGACTTAGAGGGGTGGGGAGAGGGCCCAAGGGAAGTAGGGGTGTTGGGAAGGACTTGTTACCGTTTAGTGGTGGTGCTAAGTTCTGACTCTCAACTGGCCTTCCTATGATATCACCCCGGTGGGGGAAGGGGCGCCTCATTACTGCCAGGTAGAAATCCAGGCTCCCCATGTGATCTTTACTGTAAGGCATGTCGTCCGCCCTCTATCCAGGGATAAGCTACTGGCAGTCTTTTCTGTTGGTCTTCTCTGATCCCATATCAGTAAGCGGATTGGAGCACACTGTTACAGCCTCATGATGATAGATGGCTAGGCCCCACACTCTTATCTTTGCTGGTGGGAGTGGGGCACAGTATTTTCTGTGGTGTTTTTCTGGAGTTAAGCAGTTATTGATAAAAGTTTTCTGTTTTGCAGCCTGCCTCTTTCCTAGTCCCTTAGTTTAAGTGTTAGGGTCTCACTGTGTTTCCCAGCTGGAATACAGGGCTGTTCACAGGTGCGATCCTGGCACTCTACAGCCTTGGACTCCTGAGCTCAAGGAAATCTCCTGCCTCACCCTCCCAAATATCTGGGACTAAAGGCATGCAGCCCTGCACCAGGTTAGAGAGCAGGGTTTTTTTGTTGGGGCTCTATTGTCTATGCCTTTTGGTGTTTTGGGGTTGCTGGCTTCTCTAGCACCCAGCCTGGGATATACAAGGCAAAAAGAAAACGCAGAGAACTTGCCACCATGTCCTCCTCTCTTTCAGAGTCTTCTTATGTTTGTTTTATATATATAAGTTTGGGGGTTTTAGTTGTACTTAATAGGAGGAATAGATAAAGTACATTTCTATTTTACCATAAGAGAAAGTCTCACATCTATTATTTAAAAGTTACTATGAAATTCTAATATTACAATTCTCTGTTCTTAATAGAAGTGCAGCAATAATGTGCCTCTTGGAAAGTCAAAAAAGTTACACAAGTTGGTTGAGAATTCCTTGTCCGTAAATAATCCGGCGCTCTTCAACTCCTTAGGACCTCCTCTTCGGTCAAGGACTTGCCATCGCTGTGGCCTGTTTGGTGAGCACATTGTTCACAGGTGTCTATTGGCTTATTCCTGTACATAAGAGAAAAGTTGTTTTATTAGGGCAAATTTTAAACATATGAAGTGTAAGTAGAATATTGTACACCCTTGCACCCATCTCTCGGCTTTAATTACTGTCAGCGTCCTACCGTTCTTCTTCACCCATATCTTCCTAATGCATGCTTCCTGCTTCTGCACTGGGTCATTATTTTTTATAGTTTTTTAGGTAAATTTTACGTGCATTGAAATGCACAAACTTAACGTCCCAAAAAGAAATAGAATATTTGTCTCCTTAGAAAGTTCTCTCATGTTCCTTCCTGGGATAAAGTCAGGTATCACTACAGTCCGACCTCCCTCTTGTTTTCATCTGTTCGGAGTCCTTTTCCTCTGCCTTTTGAAGAAGCTTGAAAAGTTTAGTCTTAACACCTAACCGTGATCAGCAAAGTCCTCTTCAAATAGTCTTCTTGATATGATGTACAGAATGATGATTGTGATGTCTGATCTTTGCAGATGTCAAGATCTCAGCCTCAAATGTTGGGAATAAAACATTGTTCCTGGTTGTGTTCCTTAGGCTCGCTGAGGTGCTCTCAGTGCAAGCAGACATACTACTGCTCCACTGCGTGTCAGAGAAGAGACTGGTCAGCGCACAGCATCGTATGCAAACCTGTTCAGTCAAGGTAAACATTTGTGCACGACTATTTTATTCATTAGAGATTATTTTAAAAGTTTTTTCCAGATAGAATCTGGATGCATTAATTAAGCAGGCCGTAAAATGTAGAAATTATTATTTATTGAGCTCTAACAGTGTACAGATCTGAAGAAAGCAGCTCTTACAAACTTAATTTTCATGAATATAATTTTACTAGATAGTAACAGTTTTAAAATTTTGAAGCTTAAGTGAGTTTATGAGTTTTTTTTTTAATGTGCAACTTTCAATCATGTAGTTATAGTTATGCTTTCCTGGCTTTTTTTTTTTTTTTTTTTTGGACACAGGGTCTTACCCTGTCACCTGGGCTAGAGTGCAGTGATGTCATCCTAGCTCACTGCAGCCCTGAATTCCTAGGCTCAAGCAGTCCTCCTGCCTCAGCCTCCCAAGTAGCTGGGACAACAGACCTGCACCACTATAAATTGCTAATTTTCTATATTTAATAGAGTGGGGTTCTCATTCTTGCTCAGGCTGGTGGTGTCAAGCAGTCTGACTGATGAACTCAAACAGTCCTCCCAGCTCAGCCTCCCAGAGTGCTAGCATCATAGGTGTAAACTGCTGTCCTGGATTTTTAATAAGTCAGAACTGTCAAACATCTCTTGAGTTGTGATTTTTTAAAGATATAAGTCTGGCATAGCATTTACCAATTTACAAAAGAGTTTCATTGATACTCCGAACTTGATCTTGGTAATATAGGGATTATCTGTGTTTTATAGCTAAGAAGACTGAGGTTTGGAGATTGTGACTGTCCTATTAAGTGGCTTTTTGTGGGAGTACAGCTGTGTTCTCACAGGGTAGACAGTTGTGTAGCCAGCACTGGGGGTGGGGGGTGGGGGCTTTTGGGAGACGCTGTTTTGCTCTTTCTAGATGTTAAGAATTGAACATAATTGTGATTTATGGCCCCTATTCTTAATTGCCTCTGTAGTATAATTTTTATAATCAGTTGTTTTATTTCAGTTTCCACAAACTTGAAAATAATAAATCACCTTTTGAAACAAAGAACCTGGAAGTGAAAAATGAGGTATGGCCTACTTATTCTTTGTCTTTAATGAATAAACCCTCTTTATTGAATTAAAAGGACTTAAGCTAAATAAAACATTCTGGACTTATTTCTACATTTTACCAGGGTTTACTTAAAAACAAATTTTCTGTCAAGTTAATATGTACACCCTTTTGATGAGATTTGGTGGCTGTTCGGGGTCTTTGATAACTGTTTATTTCTAGTCGTTTTCTAAAAAAGACTTGAGATGGCTGTGTCTCTGTGAAATCATTTGGACTAGTTAACAGTCCCTTCTTTATAGGTTCTGCAGACCCATGTTCCCTAGTTTTGTGTACTACACTCTAACAGGGCCAAGTTATCTACAGAGGGGGCCAAAAATATATATCTATGTATACACACACACATATTTTAAGGGAAAAAAACAATTAAAATTGTAATACTAAGTCATGTCTGACTTCTGCAATTACAAGAGATACAAGATAACAAACAATGTTGATATGTGTTGAATATTATAATTTTAATGCAATTTTTTCCTCTTTAAAAATGTGTATGTATGTCTTTTTGGCACCCTCTGTATTGAAGGAGTATTTTTTCTGCTAATAGCTCTCTTCCATTTAGAGAACTATGGGCTAAGTCATTTGTAATCTGATAAACATCTGTTGTGACCTACTCGTACTTATGGATAATTTTTAGTTTTGTCTTGCTATAGTTTTGCTATAGTTTTGTCTTGTCATAGCCTCTACTTAAAAAACAATCTGGCTTCTTCAAATATAGCATAAACTGAAATATAAATTTAAAAGACTCCCCCTTTTAAAAAGAGTAAACTCGATATTATCTTCACCATCATGGTCTTGGTCTTAGGTTACCCCCAGTGCTGTGTACACTGCCTGTGGGCAGTGGGTTTTAGTAACTCTTAGAGGCCTTCACTACTTCTGTGGTTTTTTATTCAAATCTAAGAGTCAGGCTATTATGGCCATGATTTTAGCAAACGGGCCACAGAATCATTGAAACCTGTACTTGTAAGCAACTCATCTTATATGTTTTTTTGACCAGAGGGACTATCCACTTGGAATTACTAAAGAGATAGCCCTTTGTCCTGAGAAAATAATGTTGTCTGATTTGAGAAGTCTACAGCTCAAGAAAACCATGGAAATGAAGGTATTTGTTGTTTGATCTCTGTAGATAGAGCTTCAAAGAACTTTTTATTTCATTCGCTGTTCTTAGTTTCAGTTCACTGGGTAGCTACAAAGAAAAATTTGATAGATTATCAAACCTTTCTATAACACTTTATGGCAGTTATAAAGCTTTAAGAAATTTACATTTGCTTGCATTCCCCATGAATTATTACATCTTTTGTTTCTTAAAGGGTACAGTTACTGAATTCAAACACCCAAGTGACTTTTATGTGCAGTTATATTCTTCAGAAGTCTTAGAATACATGAAACAACTCTCTGCGAGCTTAAAAGAGACATATGCAAATGTGATGCATGAAGATGATTACATTCCTGTTAAGGGGGAAATTTGTGTTGCCAAGTACACTGTTGATCAGGTAACCCCTAATGAAATGAGTTATTTGGAAGATTGTTCTAACTTACTTTGGTCATATCAACTCAGCAGTCCCAGAGCTGTTAATGACGCCTCAGATGACTTAGAGCCAGAGTCTGGTCTGGTGCTTCACCCACTAGTGTTTCACTGTAGGGTTCCGTGCTCTATTCCGTTTACTTCATGGCCTAACCCTCTCCACCTCTATTTACAGCTTCCTAAACAGCTGGTTGTAGACTGGTCTTAAAGCTCGTGCTTATTTGTATAGCGGAGGCATTAGGGGGCTAGAAATAGCTTTGGAATAGTTAGTTGTACATATTAAGGTGTCCCAATTTTAGGGATTTCTTACCAAGATTTTTGGAGCATTAAGCTGTCTTTCTAATCGAACACCTCAGAATAGGAGCGTAGCCTTTCGCCTTTCCTTTGCCCACTGTGTCGACTGGTCGAGGGTTTTTTAACCTAAGGATGTGAAATGCTGTTTGGAAGCAGAGTCCCGTTTTGTTTCACTTTCAGACCTGGAACCGAGTCATCGTACAAGATGTTGACATGCTGCAGAAGAAGGCACATGTCTTGTATATTGATTACGGAAATGAAGAGATCATTCCAGTAAACAGAATTTACCAACTGAGCAGAAACATTGGCTTGTTTCCTCCTTGTGTGAGTGTCACCGTGAATTCCTACTCATGTCCCAAGGGAGCTGCTGTTTATGTCTTGAGAGGCACACTGCGTGTGTGTTCGCTCAGCTGTGTCATTGTACCTGCTGGTGTATCTTTTACTATGTAGGTGACTGCCCATTGACTGTCTTGTCCTTATTGAGCTAAGTGACAGACTCGCTTTGGTAAGCATGTGTCATCCATCTGCTCTTTCAAAGCAGTCATTTCTCTGTTTATTACATTATTTGGCAGAGGCCTGAACGTATGTATGATTTAGAGATAATTACTACTCTTTCATGACTTTCTCAAGCGTCAAGTACCAAAAGTAAGTATTGTGAATAAAGTGCCAAGAGAGACCTAAAATAATTAGACCTCGAGTTGTTTATCTGGTTAGTACTTGAAGAGTTTTGATAAGTGTTCAGCATGAAATACATTTTTTTTAAAAACTTTAAATAATTATAAAAAGCCATTTTTAAGTACTAATTTTTGTAAGTAACTTGTGCAAAATTTTTCAGGCCATAAAGTGCTTTGTAGCCAATGTTATCCCAGCAGAGGGGAATTGGAGCAATGAGTGTATCAAAACTGTTAAACCACTGTTAATGGAGCAGTACTGCTCTATAAAGATCCTGGACATCTTGAGAGAAGATGTGGTCACCTTTGCTATAGCTGTTATGCTGCCAAGTTCAGGTGAGATCTGAGTATTTTTTTTAAAACTGAGTACTCATTGTTTGGTTTCTACCTGTTACTCAGAAGAAATAAAAACATGGAGTGAGGCCAAGTCAGACTCTGGAGTCATTCAACCTGTGACTGAAAATACAGCCTCAGCCTTATTTTTTTGCAGTTGGCAGGTTGTCAAAGATCTGGCCCAAACTCACAGAAACAGGTGGCTTAAAATGCTGGCGTTAGACTTAGTGTAGGGATGACTGTATTACTCTGTTAAATATAGCCATGGTAATATCTACACCTGATTTCTAGGCCTTTATTGAGAGAGATTCTTGAATTTCTCCATGAATTCATTGATCCGGATCAATGCTTTCTCTTTGAACAACCTTCACAGAACCGCATTCTGTTGGTACATAGTATTTAAGTTGTGGAAATGGAAACACCGTGGAGTCCTGTCCTTCCATTGTTCCTTCTTCATATCTTTTTGAAAAGTGACTTTGACAGTGTGCATACAATTGCCTCTCATTTTCCGAGGTATTACCCCTCTGCTACAACAGAGCTGGCATTGTGGATGATTTGGTAGAAAGTGCAGTTAATCTGTTTTTGGAATTAAATATAATGTCTGTTTTGTTTCTTTGCTATGTATGCTTCATGTTATGACTTCAGGTTTTGGGTATTATGTCACAGAACTTGACATTCATGTCAATGTTTGTTGCACCAGAAACAAGACTAAGAAAAGGTAGTCTTGTGTCTTAAGTTTATTTCTTGAATAGCATGCTTACCACCTCATACGCATGGTTATTCTAAGAATGGTTGTGAGGTCGTACCTGAATCTTCCGTTTAACCCAGAGTTTTGAAGTGAAATCTTTTCATTAGGTCTCCTGTCACTTGACTATAGAAACTTTGCTTCCATATAAATGTAGCTGTTACTAAACTGAATTTTGCCTATAGGAATTGAATTGGTCCAACAGTACCAGTGAACTAATAGTTATAATCTCTTAAGTTGTGCGATTGACTTACTTGTTTCTTATTCATGCTTTTCCTATAATGCTTTGCATATCATCTCCATAGATGTGTTTTTTCTTAATCACTTTTTAGGAAAACTCCTAGACTGCATGCTTATAGAAATGGGATATGGCTTGAAACCCAAAGGACAAAATCCTAAGAAGCAAAGTGAGGATCAAAGTGAGTATACAAATTAATAATAGAGGAGTGTAGAGATGTCAGGTGTAGAATAGCTTCTCCACTAAACAAAAGGTACAATTCAGCACCATGAAGACTTGATGATAAACTTTATATAAGAAAGATGACGTTTTTAATTTAGTGGTCTGTTGTTTCTAATCTCCCCTAACTGTTCACCTTCCCTGCCTGTTTTCCAGGTAACTCTTGACATGGTAATTATGAGATTGTAAAGTATTAAATATCCTGACACTTCAGACTGGGGGCTTTTCAGCTTACATTTCTTAGTTTAATTTATTTTTCTTCCTTGGTGCCTTCTACCAATAATAGGATTCTAGAATTCTGTTCTAGTAGGAGAGTGTTTTTTTACTTCTTGTTTACGTGTCTGTGTGGTTTTGCATTAAATTAACAAGAGAACCAAGGAATTTTGCTGTCATTTGCGGTGTTTTTATTGCATTTCATTTCCTCCTTTACTTTGCTCCTTTACCAATGACTTTAGTTGCAGACATAATTCATTATCCCTTGCTCATTAATCCAGAGGTGATTGCCAGACTAATGGTGCCATGATTGGGTGCGTCATTATCGTGTAAACAAACTTGCCTCATCCTTAAGTCTGCCTTCTTCCTTATCTCCCATCCCTTGTCCTAGCTAGTTGGTTTCTATGTCTTTATTTTTTTTGTCTTTTTTTCCCTTTCTTGTTTTTTTTAATGGAGGGTGGGGTCCTTCTCTGTTGCCCAGACTGGATGCAACGGCCCAGTCATCTCACTGCAGCAGCCTTCAACTCTTGGCTCAAGCAATTTTCCCACTTCAGCTACCTGAGGAGCTGGGACTAGACATGTGCCACTATGCCTGGCTAATTTTTGGGGTGGGTGGTTTATTTGTTTTGTTTTGTTTTTTGTAGAGATGTTGCCCAGGCTGGTCTCAAACTCCTGGCCTGAAGTATTTCTTCTACAGCCTTTCAAATTGTTGGGACTACAGGTGTGAGCCATCATGCCTGGCAACTAAGTCTTTATTGATTCTTCTTCCCAAATATTCCTTATATGTGTCTTTTTTTCTTTCTTTCCGGGCTGTCACTTCCTCAGGGGGCCTGGTCACTCATGGACAGTTGAAACAACCTTCTGATGTTAGCATTTATCTATGTCTGTATTCATACAGTGCTTGCTTACATGATAACCCTGAATACAAATCTTGGTATGACAACTTTGCTGAAAAGCTTTCAGAAGTTCTTTGCCATCTAGAGAAAAAACCCAATTAGTGGTCTAGTAGGAGTCATGGTTGGGACCTTAAGTGTTGGTGGTATAGAGTTAGGAAAAATAATGAAGAAGATGAACCTGGAGCCGTGACACAGAGTGATGGGAAAGGTGGGAAAGAGAGCAGGACAGACCTTGCCGAGGAACGGAAGGATATGCGCTGCTTCCAGGAGAGGAGAGGGGAGCTGTCAGCAGTATCAGGTGCTTCGAAGGCATCTGGGAAAGGGCACAGCTAAACCCACTGAGCAGTGCCTCCTTCCCTGTGGTCAGGACAGAGAAGAGGTCGCACAGGGTGCAGTGGAGTACGTGGGAAAGGCCACCTAACCGGGACGAGGAGAGAAGCCTTCTTGAAGTGATGCTGTGCTGAGCAGAAAATAAGCAGGTGTCGGGGGTAGGGCGTGTGTTCCAGGAAGGATGAACACAGGTGTTAAGGTAAGGAAGAGCATGATTGGGCCTGAACAACTGGAAAGTAAAGTCATGGCTGAATGTGACCACTGGAGAGAGGTGTGAAGTAGGGCATGAAATCCTGGGAGATGAGCTAGAGTTAGATCACACAGGGTCTCAGGAGCTGTGTTCAGGGGGGCTGGATTTGATTCTGAAGCTGGTAGGAAATGGAGGGGTGAAAGACGTCTGGAATCTTGACACTAAGTTACATCTGAGTAGTGCTTGTGGGTATGGGAGAAGCAGATATTTGGAAGTTAGAAAAGATGGTCTATTGCTAGTGTCCGTATTAAACCTCCTTAAGAATTTAGGTGGTTTAGGTCACAGAATCATCTTCTATCCTGCCCCTGTGTGACTTGGCCTAGGTGAGTAGTCTTTCCGGCCTCCTCTGTCCCTGCCTCTCTCCCTGGCCTCCTCTGTCCCTGCCTCCTTTTCCCCCCTTCTTCCCCCCCATCTCTCCCTTGCATCCTCTCTCCTTGGCCTCCCCCCCCACCTCCTCCCCCCCGTCCCTGCCAGCACACTGAGCCACTAAGTTACACTGCAGTGCCGTCTCCTCATCCTGAAGTATTCTTATGCTCAGCTGCGCTTGCCAATGCCTGTCTGTAGGATTGCACGCCCGCCTCCATGGGCCTCGCTTCTCTGGCAGTAGTTACCACATTGTAGCTCCTGGGCTGCGCACCTGTTTCCTGCGAAGTTAGCTTTTAGGAGCAGAGACTGGACTCTCACTTAGCTGCCTCTCCCCATTGTTTAGTATGACATCTGATACACAATGGACATTCAGTATGTGATTTTAGAAAGCTGGGCATGCTGACACATGCCCATATCCTCAGCTACTCAGGAGGCTGAGGCAGAAGGATCCCGTGGGGCCAGGAGTTTGAGGCCACAGCGTGCGTGCCGTGATAGTCCCTGTGAACAGACATGTACTCTGGCTTGGGCAGTATGGTGAGATCCTGTCCTTTAAAACAAACCACTGGAGGATCTTCTGATGAACTCATGCAGTTGAAAGGGACCATCAGGATCATGGTACCTTCCAGTCCACCTGTTCACAGGTGAGGACAAAGAAGCTGACTGGTGCAGTGGGTTACCCTAAGACTTGGGGGGATGTGGAACCAGAATCAAGCCCTGTAAATCCAGTCTAGGGCTCTTTCCGCTGTACTGTGCGGTGTTTGATGAGACAGCAGGCTGGTGCTTCATCTTCCTTGCTATTGCATCTTTCTCCTTTCCTCCCTTGTTTGTATTTCATCTTTTTGAAATGTTTTAAAATAGGCTTTTGACTTATAGTCTGTCTCTTACCTTTACCTTTTACCACCTAATCCTTGACTTTACCTCAACCAGGCCAATGTGTTTGGGCTAATTATCCATTTCAGTGGATTTTCTAGCATAACTTTAGGAATCCTTGTAATGTGCTCTGAGAGTCATTTCTAGGTAGCACATTCCCTCTACTGTTGGGGTCTGCCCAAGTTTCCGCTTGGTCTTCAAAGAGTCACACTATTTGGATTCGTGGTTAGAATCATTTTGTGAATCTGTTTTCTCATATTTCTACATTAAAGCAATAAAGTTGACAGTTTCGTCTGAGTGATAATCCCTAGTTCTTTAAAGCAGTTGTTTTTCTTATCTTTCAGGATTCTGATGTGTTGTTGCTATGCCTTTCTCTAAGACATGATCTAAAAATATATTCCTTTAGTCCTTGCAATTTTACAGACCCAGGCTTTCTTGTTCTTCGCATTATCTTGAGTCTGATTTACTTCTCATGATGCTTTTGAAGCCTCTCCATCTTAGCCTCAGGGTAGCCCTATCGTTTCCTCTTGGTTTGTTACCTATGTTGCTTACTCCTTTTTTGAACTGCTTAATGCATTTTTAAAAATTTCTGATTGAATTTATTTTGTCATGATACATTGTTTCCTATAGGATTGATCATTTCACTGAAGAATAAGTTCTAATCCACTATTTCTACGTCAGGATCTTGAGATGATTATCTGTTCCAAAGTACATTTTGTTACACTCTTTTAGAGCCTGTGAGGCTTCCCCTGAAGAACTTTGAAATTAGATTTAAGTTTGTATTTTATGCTGCTGATTTTCTTTCTTGGAACTAGTCTAGCTTTGGGGGACATAGGAAATTGTCTTTATTATGAACATTTGTTGTCTAGAGGAAGAAACATGGGCTCTCAGACTGTCTTCCAGGAACTCTGTGTGGTCATATTGATAGTCTTTTTCAAAATTATTGAAGTATGCATCCAGTTTTTGTATGAAACCAAAATGGCTTATTTTTCTCCTTGTTAAAAAGGTGACCCTGAAGACGTTGGGAAAATGTCAGCTGAGAACAAAATTGTTGTAGACAGAAGTGACCTTATCCCCAAAGTGTTAACTTTGAATGTAGGTGATGAGTTTTGTGGTGTGGTTGCCCACATTCAAACGCCAGAAGACTTCTTTTGTCAACAGCTTCAAAGTGGCCGTAAGTAAATTTGTTTTTTTTTTTGTTGTTGTTCTATCAAACTAACACACTTCAAGACACCCTGGGCACAAAAATAAAGATAACATGTAGATACGCATTTCTTTTACATGTGATCTGTATCTGCAGATAAGCTTGCTGAGCTCCAGGCATCCCTTAGTGAGTACTGCGGTCAGGTGCCTCCACGCTTCGACTTCTATCCAACCATCGGTGATATATGTTGTGCTCAGTTCTCAGGTAAAGAGGGTTAAAGTTGAAATTTTTTTTTTTTTTTTTTTTT